AAGTAATAATATTGTTTGGTGAGCTGCATGACAATCATGATTAATTTGTTAATTTAAGTTTAAAAAAAAAATGTGCGATTTAGAAAAAATTGCAATATCGGAGGAGAAGCCTGGTGACTTGAAAACATCAAGCCTTATTTTAGGCTTAGTTTCTGGCACCAGTCTTCCACATGACTGTTTACTTTGGGACTTGTTGATGTAATTAATTTTTAAGAACATTTGTGGAAGAAAATAAATTATTATTATTATTATTATACAGGATATTTTTGTGTGTCGGTCAGGTGATTAATAAATAATATTAAATTATTATCAATTTATCTCCCTTATATAGTAATAAATTACGTCCTTGACGACACGGATTTTTGTCGAACTTACAGATATATATACATATATATATATATATATATATATATATATATATATATATATATATTTATATATATTTTTAATTAGAGACCGTGTGTCTATTTTTTATGTACCCAAAACTATGTTGAAAATTTAAGTGTTTAAAAAACCACGTAAACTGCGACTCCGAGGACTTGCCGTCATTTGTGGGTAAACAAAAGAGCAAAAGTAATTTAAGTGAAAATAAAATGAGTTGTCGTATTTAGTACCCACATTTAAACTTTAAACAAATATAAAAAACTGAACCTTGTTTAAAATCAAATAAATCAAAAAAAATTATTTGGCACCTTGAATGTTTCTCACACTTTTCCAAGATAGTTTTCCCTACGAATTTATCCAGAAATGACGTCACGCGCTCTGATTGGTGTTTCATTAGACATGAGACACAGACTACAAATTTTGGAAAATTATATTTTGTTTATTGATTTAAAAATATAAATAATTTTACCGCCCTTACAAATCCAAGGAAATATTGACGTCTCACATTGTTGAGACGAAATACTGTTAGAATGTGATCTAGCCTAAAATCGGAATAATTATGGATCAAAGTTAAATGTGTATCGTCTGCCAAATAGTGGTATGAATGGAAAAATATGAACACAATAAAAACAGCGTTATAAAAGAAAATTAATGAATTCATTAATAAAATCAACATAACGTTTTTATAGGTATGGCTAGATTTATAGCGAGTAGGTTGGGCGGTGGCTTTAACCAGAAATCAAAATCTGGACCTCAGAGAAACCGTCGTACGATCTACTCCGCCAAGCAAGTTTTGCAAAGGTTCACAAAGATCACTTTTAGATTATATTTTGGGTTTCTGATAGATAATACAAGAGGACAATATATTTTGTAGTTTATGTAATAGTTTTATGAGATAATATAATTCAACAAGTATGTATATTAAACCTAAAAACTTAGTATATAATATAGCTCATAATATTAAGTATAGAGCAACATTTAATATGCTAATGAAGATAGACATTTATTTTAAATGACACATATCACTAAGAGGATTAAAACAACAGGGGTAGAAACCAAACACACATTGAGATTACATGCTTGAGACTTCCTAAAACTTGTAAGACTTCTAATGTAGTTAAGGTTAATGGCCAGCAATAATATGAAACTGTTATATTTTGTAAAAACTCTTAAGAGATTTTTAATACTTTAAATTATTATTATCTATAAAGAATTGGGCATAAGTAGAGGCCATATTCACTAACCTAGAACCAGGCATAGCTTAATTAGGAAACGCCTAATGTTTCGAATACGGGTGTAGACAGTAAACGAAAGTAAATACATATTTTTTTCTGGTAGTGTGTAATATACTATTACCGATAATCACACTTGTATGCTTATTGTATTTATATTATTGCTTATATTAATTATGCATATATCGATAAAATAAAAATAAAACGTTGTTTACACCCAATAAAATGTTGTCTAAATTAAAAAATATTTTCATTTATCTCTTGACAAATTTGTAACCTACGTCATATTACGCAAGTGCCTTATACAAGAAACCGCATAACACATGGCAAAACTTTACGCATACTTGATGTCGTTAAATGATTCCTAGTGATTGGTGAAATTCATTTTCATCTTAGGCAATTCCTACATATTATTAAGGTGACTAAATATGTATATCTAGGACAAGTAATTAACATGGAAAACGACTTGAGCGATGACATTAAGCGCAGAATAAGTTTGGGATGGGCGAGCATTGGACAAATGCCGGAAATTTTTAAATCCAACATGCCGATACATCTAAAAAGGCGTGCTTTCGACCAATGCATCCTCCCGAGATTAACATATGGTTGTGAGACGTGGACACTAACAGATGGCATAATGAAGAGACTCAAAGTAACTCAAAGAGCCATGGAAAGATCTATGCTTCGGATATCTCTTCGTGATCGTATCAGAAATACCAAGATACGTGAACAGACTGGTGTTGTGGATATAGGGAAGCGAGGGGCTAAATTAAAGTGGCAATGGGCTGGCCATATAATGAGATGCTCAGACGGACGTTGGAGCCAAAAGATGACCATATGGCGACCACGAACATCCCGCAGAAAACCAGGAAGGCCAAAGGCAAGATGGGCCGATGATATTGTTCAAATAGCAAATAGGAGGCATATGTCCAATACTGGACAGACAAATGCTGATAAAGAAGAAGAAGAAGATTAAGGTGACAGATTTCTTTACTCCCAAGTTTAATGAAAAATTTTAAAATAAGCGTAATTAGAAGAACTCAAAATAAATATGCCTTTGCCTGTTAATAAGGTCGATGGGCAGTGTTAGCGCGTTCAGTCTGCGATGCGGCCACTTTCGCAAGGACCAGTCATGGGGTGGGTGAACAAAAACTTATTCTCACAAGCTTCTCCGTGCTGTGGAAAACACGTTAAGCCATCGGTCCCGGCTGCAATTTGTAGTCTTTAACATCCACCAATTCGCACCAGTCCCGAGTGTTGGGCCATGCCCCTTCTTCCATTTGGATTCCGTCCAAAGGCGGCGTTCTGTTAAGCAGCGTGGAAATTAATATGCTGGTGACAATGAGACAAGATGAAACTATTATAAATTACAATATGGTTAGAAATGGTTATTCTGATAGTGGTGGCAATTCTGTAGACGTATTTTAAACTAGTCAAACTGGGTTTACATTTTTGTAAACAACAAAGATGAAAGATTTCTTATATAAACTGGGAAAATAAAATTGATTCAGATAGAATCATAAAAAATTAGAGATTTTTTTTGTTTATCATAGAGAATGCATCCGAATTTCCACTTTAATCATAACAGCATCATTTTAATTATAATTTGAAAGATTTTATTTTACATATTGGTGTCAATTCTATATACAACTCTCCAAATTAAATTGAAATAATAATGTCTAATTTTAATTTGGTTTTAATTATACACATATCTCTATACTTGCTGTTTTCCAGTGACTTCATCTGAGTAAATCATAGCCTATATCAACACCATGTAACGGTGCATCGTCCCACTGTTTATTTCGTCCTAGGTTTCTGCATTTAAAGTTTTGTCTTTGATTTTCAACATCATTCATTTTTATTATTAACTTTTCATAATTTGAAATTTTGGGTAATCCAATATGCTCTTTATGAATGTCTGTTCGTGAAAAATCATTGAGTTAGAAACATTATACGATTCAATCAATAGCAATTTGTTGTAAAGAGTGTTTGAATTTGTTTATTATTGTCTGTTGTAAATGTATACTATATCCACTCAAGCATAATAAAGATAAATTAACCACCAAACCCGAAGAAAAGAGTTTCTTTTTTGTTTACTATTTATTAAATCAAGTTCTCAAGCTTAGTCAGCCTTTTATTCATTTGCCTAAGCATCGAACCTGCCATGCCCATATGATGTAGCTTGTATAGGTGAAAGAATTTTGAAAATCAGTCCAATGGTTTCAGTGACTATTTGACGCAAATCTGTCCATATATGTAACATATTAATTCTATTCAATTTGAAAGCATTGACACTGACACTAAATTTAGTCCAGAATTTTTATTCAAATATATTAATATAAATTTATTTATTTTTATATTATCTACAGCTTTGATTATACAGAAATCTTATTTATTCATTAACAGCCAAAACAAACAAAGAAGATTCTCAAGTTGAGCATATATACAGATTTATGTTTAGTAGCATTGTAATAAAGCACAATTTACAGAATGTATAACTTTTACATGTTTATTTATTTATTTAAAAGAAACACCAACAGTGCACATACTAAACTAAGTCTTAAATTGATCATAATTATAAAGATTCTGGTATGCACACCAATTATAGGTGTTTACATGTTGTAAGTGATCGTATTAGAAATGCCTTAAACATTACTCAATGTTGGGTGTTTGGTGTTGTTTATATTATAACAAGTAAAGATTGGATTTTACTGCACCAATTATAAAAATTCTTTCACCAATATAAAGATACATTACAAAAATATTTATGAGGATGTTCTTTATTATCTGTAAGATGCCAGAAAGGGCTGTATCTGTTAAGTGAAGAATGTCGAAACCAAGTCACCATGACATGTAGTGAAGAAAGACACAGTCACGGACATATATTTTGTTTTGAACTGAAGTTTTACAAATATTTAAATATTTTTAAACTGAGAATTTGAAATGTATACTGCCAAAAAGTTTTGCATTGCAGATCACCAACAAACACATTATGTACATAAGAAATATATGTTTCAAAGACCTTTTTCTAATCATTATCTTGATTGGTCACATAAATTCTTGTGTAGAATAATATTTCTATCCGTTAGTTAATTGCTATTAAACCATTTCTTACATTCTCAAGTAACTATTAAATATTTAGTGTTAACATTTTTTTTTTACAGAGTTCAAACAAAAATACCAATGTTGTGCGTTATTCAAAATAAATGAATATTACTAAAACTATAAAAAAACTAAATTTAGGTACATTTTATAGATATGTAAGTAGGTATTTTATAATTATGATTTTTATTTGGAATGTATATTCTAATTTAATACATCAATAAATCTATTCAGACATTTCAAAAATGAATATTTCTCATTGGAATAAGTTTATTAGCTTACCTCTATAGTGATCCTTGAAGTATAGCGTGAATTTGATGAGACACTTGTTGGTCTATAACCGCATTTTTTAAAGAAAACTTTCATTTATAAAAATAAGCTGTTGTAACTGTTTAGCGTCCACACGTTAAGGCGACCGGTACAAATGAACCTCCCAAACATCAAATTTACCTTGATGATCCGTACCAATATTTACTAGCCTAGTTTATCGAAAAATCAATGAGAGGACAGATACCTTACAGTATTGATGTCTACGAGGACTATACATTAATATATACAGATTTTTACCTCAGCAACTAAAGAATAATGGCCTTGGACGTTGTTCAACAGAGACAGAGAGCATGAACTGAAGTCGATAATATGTATTATCAATTTAAAACTGACGAGATCGCTTCGTTATCTATCACTCACTGATATGATTTTTTTTGCAATTTGACAGTAAGCTTACGTTTACAAAGCTAGTTCATTCCTTTTTGTGTTTCATTGCAAATGTCGTACAGTACAGCTGTATGACATTTGCAATGAAACAAAAAATGTTTAAAGCATCTTTGTAAATGTGCCTTACTGAAAATATGGTCGGCGCATATTACAGTCGTGCTTGTCAGTAGTTTTGTTTGAAATGCGATAGTGAAAAGTGTAAGAGTGCCAAAGTAATATTATTTTACAACCAAATACAAGACACCTAGTGTATCTTGTATATTATAAAAATTATTGCATTTTCGCTCTTAAAATTCTATGGACAGAGTGTCGTTAGTTAAAATGAAATGGCTTTATTTATTTTAATTATTTATTATTCATAAATATTTGTTTACCTAGTAAAAACTAGTCAAATCAAACTTTGAGGTACGGTCGATAATAAGTTATTGTTTGATATCTGTAAGGCGAAATTGTACGAAATTATCACTTTTTATGACAAATTGGTCATTTGTAAGTTACTTCACACGCGTGATTTATAGCATATCACAAGCGTATGATATAGCTTTCCGCAGATGAAAGAATTTTCATGATCAGTAATTTCCGAAGATTACCTCTTACAAACAAACAAAGAAAGTTATAAATTTTGCCATTAAGTTAGTGCTATTAAGTTAAAAAAGGCTATACTAAAATTTGAAAAATAACAATCACTATATGAAAATTAAACACATGATCGATTGTGCTAAAAACAGAAACATAAATTTCCATGCTTATAATAAAAAAAAAATCGCAAAGATGACAGAATAGGTTTTTTGGATCGATTTTACGACTGAAATAATTCATCTTAACTATGTTAAAAATATGTACAAAAATAGGTTTTGATATAATCTAAAATCAGAAACAATCCTTCGGATAAACACCGGCGCCGTTATAAAGAACTGCGTCATCGCCGCTGCAGGATCTGCACAATGGCGTTACATACACATTTCTGTGACAAACGGTTCACCAGTTAAGGTCTGGTTCTTTCTTAAATGTCTTGGCATCGACAAATCAAATTCTTCCCCTTCACTTGGATTAGATCTGGATTCATTAAATCATTACGTCTTGTTCCATTCCTAAAACAAAATAATCAAATACTTTTACTTCTTTATCTGCCTGTTTTCCTCCTCCTCTAACTCCTGCGTTTTCCTTTAGAGAAATCAAGTGCTGAAGGTATTGACGGCGTCAGTCGTAGAATGATTTTGGTAGATTCCAATGTCCTCATTCCCATACTCTGCCAAATCTTCAACTTCTCGCTTCATACAGGAACTTTTCCGAGCTTCTGGCGTAAGGCAGTGGTTATTCATATTCCCAAAACTTCTAATTCTTCTTCATCATTTTAATATAGGCATAGGCCTGATCCATCCTCCCCTTTTTGTCCAAAGTACTTGAACTAAGTTGGTATATATAAATTATAAAACCTTTTAAACCCTTTTCAATCTGGTTTCCTTTTTGTCCAAAGTACTTGAACTAATTTGGTATATAAATTCTAAAAACCTTTTAAACCATTTCCAATCTGGTTTCCGCCCGGGGGCACAGCACTACTATAGCCTTGCTGAAGGTAACCAATAAAATACGTTTGGGATTGTCAAAGCAGCAATTAACAGTAGTGGTCTTATTAGACTTTAGCAACGCCTTTAATACGGTTGATTGTGATATCCTGGCGGCATTGCTGAAAGCAATCAACTTATCTAATGCTGTTGTTGACTGGTGCCGTAGTTACCTGAGTGTTAGTGCTGGCGTGCCTCAGGGTGGTGTCATTTCTCCTCTCCTATTTTCTGTCTCCACCTTACTCCTCTTACTTCATGTCGATTTCACCTTTATAATGATGGCCCGCAAATTTATTCTAAAGCTGCAATTGAGGATGTGGATGAACTGATGGCCAAACTCAACAAAGTCACAAACTATCATCATTGGTGACACTAAACAGAGTGCAAGATTCAACCATACTGGTATTTCTCGTCTTACCCTTAATGGTGTTACTTTGACTCTCAGCAGTGTGGTTAAAAACCTAGGCGTCTTTTTTGATAACTCCGTCTCCTGGTCTTTGCATATCACCGATGTTAGTCTCAAATCATATGCTTCTGCGGGGTCATTGTCCACCATGTCGCTGTGGAATTTACTGCCTTCTAATATACGTAAAGGAAAATCTGTAGCTATTTTCAAATCAAAATTTCATAAGTTATTCCTAAACAAGTGTTAGTGTATGTTTTTTTTTTTCTAGTTCTGTATTAGTGCATGCCTGTAAATCTTATTTATTTATAAATATATTTATGTAATATTGTAGGATTTATGTGTCTATAATGACGAGCTATATATATTTATATATATATGCTGATGTGTCCCATGATTACCGTTATCTGTAAAAGATTTCTTTTGGCGATGAGACCGCTTTTGCCCACTTTAACAATAAAATGTACTGTAAATTGTTTATTTTTATGTGTACAATACAGAGTCTGTCTGTCTGTCTATCTTTCTATTTAACTTTGTCAGTATAGTGTTGTGAATACGAAATTGTTAAAATATAATAATTGTTTTATTATTTTACAAAGAAAGTTACGATTTCAGGATTGTCTTCTGAACTTGGCACCCGTTTACACATCAATGCTTTTGTCGGTAGAGCCGAGAATCATAAAATTATTGAGCTTAGATATGTTGAACTTAGCTATAAATTTTCACATTTATTTTTTTAGTAGGTATTTTCTACTAAGTAGGCTGGACAGCAGTACATACCTTGGCTAGCGCTGCACTGCACCTACGCTGCGCGATTTTGGTTAAGTCCAAACGACTCGCTGACTAACGATAGGCGTGGTCTGTTAGAACACGAATATTACGAAATCAACAAATAGGATACAAATACTTAATGTTACTCTTTGTAGCATTATGGCTAAACCTTACTCGATGTGACGCTAATTTGTAGGTACATACCTATACTCCATTCATTATTACATTAGAAAAAAGAGGGTCATAGAAGCAGCAGTGCAGAACATTTTATTTTCAAGATAAATTTAAAAAATATATATTATAGTTTTGTTGAAACTTTGAACGTTAGGTAGTCTGAAAGAGCTGAGCAATTTTTTTCTAATTTTTACGATACCTCAGGGTTGAGATGAGGCCAGCATTTTCTAAATATCTATGTCCAGTAAAGAAAGGTAAACAAAATGAATTTTTTATTGTTACTTTTATAACATTTATTCAGATATTAGACTATTCATGAAGACATTGGTAAAACTTCTTGACATGTCAAAGGTCGAGGGAAGGTATGGGGGCTTAGAGCGTAATTGTTGTAGGCCACTCGGGCCTGCACCGGCATCGTTCATATTTAATAAAACTTAACAACAAAAACAAAACAATAACAACTTAATCACGGAAAAGGGCAAAACAACAAGAAAGGCAGTAGTATTCATAATGGATGACAATCCCAGATTACGTATTTTGACAATTATAAATACATCATAGTCTGACAAAATGAAAAAGCTGTACTACCGAAACGTTTGAAGGGATTAGGCAACGTTTTAAATTTGGTAGAATTATAGTAACATGAGAATCGTGCCGAAACTATCCAACCCTGCTTCCTTAGGTTCTTTAAGATGAACACTTTTTATTGTAATAGTTATTAAATCATTTAAGTTAATCAAATACTCATAAATTTGTCTAATAGATAGCTTAAATGATAACAGTTAGTATAGCAGCTGGTATTTAAGTGAATATGTAGCAAATTAGCCGTCAGTCTTAAGAGTAACATGATTATTGATATTTTGTCACAAAGTATACCATAAAAAGAACCTTATTTAACTTCTGTCTAATCATGAATGGAGTCAAAGTCAAAGTCAAAATAATCTTTATTCAAATAGACTTCTTAAAAGTACTTTTGAATCGTCCAACATTTTTTCCCTACCACTCGTTCAGGACGTCTTTTGGCTGATAAGAAGAACGAGCAAGAAACTCACCAGCTCTAATATGAGTAATGACATTTACAAAAACCATGTCATTACCAGACCAATACATTATAAACAGAGATAAAAAAAAAAACTATGGTCTTATAATAATAACATAATCATTTAATAATAATGGAAACAAGATAATGAGTTTAGAAGTAATTACCTATCCAGTTGCTGGATCATCTCAAGTCCAAGCGTTCTTATCTGTTATATAATCGGATACCTTATAATAAGCTTTTTTTTAATAAGTATTTTTTTAATAGTAGATTTAAACTGCATGATATCTAATTGTTGTATTTTGCTTGGGACCTTATTGTAGAAGCGCACACAAAGACCCTTGAAAGAGTTATTAACTTTTTGCAGTCTAGTGACAGGCACCGTTAATTTATTTTTATTTCTTGTATTAAAATTGTGTACATCACTTTTTATAGAAAACAAACTAATATTTTTACGAACGTACATTAAGTTCTCGTATATGTATTGAGAAGCAACAGTCATAATGTCTATTTCCTTAAATTTCTCCCTTAAAGAGTCCCTAATCCTAAGATTATAAATTGATCGAATTGCTCTTTTCTGAAGCACAAAAATTGTTTGTATGTCGGCAGCATTTCCCCACAATAGGATACCGTACGACATAACACTATGAAAGTAACTGAAGTATACTAATCTGGCAATATCTATGTCAGTTAACCTACGTATCTTCATTACGGCATATGCTGCAGAGCTAAGTCTACTCGACAATCTATCAATATGTGGGCCCCACTGTAGTTTAGAATCAAATGTTATTCCTAAAAATACTGTGGTATCCACAAGGCCCATGTTCTTATCTTTTACATTAACATTTATATCTACTTTTTTAACATTAGGTAGTACAAATTTTAAGCATTTTGTTTTTCCTTCATTAAGGACAAGATTATTTACATTAAACCAATGTACTACTTTAGCGATAGAATTGTTCACATCGTCATTTAGAGGTAACCCTCTTTTAATTTTAAACAAGAGTGAAGTGTCATCCGTAAACAAAACTATTTCGTGATCATCCCTTACGAAATAAGGCAAGTCATTTATGTAAATCAAAAACAAGAAAGGACCAAGTATTGAGCCCTGCGGAACGCCCATCTTAATTTTCGATCCAGGGGAGTATAATACATGTTATGAGTCTTACCTAAATTCTGACAATTCCAATGTGTGGAGAGTGTGGTTCATGAACTTTGTGCTAAAAAAGACAATAGTCATTTTTCATGTAAATTTATGTAAAATATGAAATGTAGGAAATGTCTTACAAGATTTTTACCATAAAAATAAAACAATATCCAACTTGCGTGAACAACAATAAACAAAAAAATTCAATAATAAGTCAAATCATTCTCTCTTTGTGCATGCCTCCGACTGCATGTTAAGTATGATGAATTGATACCTTTTCAGTTAGTTATTTTTCACGTAAAATCATCTCTTGAGTAGCTAGGTGGCGCAGTGGGTAAGGGCCACAGCCTACGATCGTTGATGTTAAGTAACTTTCGCAAGAGTCAGTCACGGGATGAGTGACCAAAAATTATTATCTCTAGCTACTCCGTGCTTTGGAAGGCACATTAAGCCGTTGAATCCAGCTGCATTTCAGGCCAGAGTAGAGGGTCATGGCGCTGATGATATATGTAAAATCAACAGTACGTCAGGTTATATCCCAAATAGCAATTTAAACTTGGCAACTTGCAGCAAGTTTAAATCAAACTTGTTAGTTTCAGGGTGACAAACTTGATACGGTAGTAATGATAATTTTCCTAGTTACTGACTCAAATACCTAGCAGGTACTCGGGTACCTGACTTGAATAATTCCAAAATGATTGCTATAGACTTTTAAATTAGAAAATAGGGATGATGACTGGGTTAAGAATCATTACTACCGTATCAAAGGTAATGCAAGTTTGTCACCCTGAAACTAGAAAGTTTGATTAGTTGCTGCAAGTTGCCATGTTATCTGGGATAAATCTGTTTAATTTTTCCACATGATTTTAAACTTTGATGCCTTAAATGTAGGGCTTAAAATCAACTAGAGAACTTTTACATATTGTGGTACCTGATATACAGCCATGTATACTATTTATAAAAATTACAACTTCAAAATTTTGTTGCAAGATCTGACTACGATCTTGCAACAAAATTTTGAAGTTGTAATTTTTGCGATTTGAGATTGAAACGACTGTTGAAGTTTTATCGGAACATAATTGCATAGAAGTTTATTTGTGACACTGTATGATTGGTTGCATTTGTTCTATTATTTTAAATATCTAGTGCGGCGGATAGCTTAATGTAGCGGCTTTTTTTCTCTAGCATTTGACTGGTATCTGGTATGATAGGGGCCGTTGTAAATCTGACAGGAGCTCCGTCACATCAAGTGTCCCATGGGGGCCGTCAATAAGTTTTACGTTAACCTGTCCACTGCGTTGAGCGCGTTAAGTATTTGTATGGAGATTTATAGTTCTTGATGGTCACTGCTTGGGGCGCTGTGTTGGTTTTCACGCTTAAATTTAATAACGCATTCACAATTGACGATCACCTTCGTAAAAAGTCACTACGTAAAGCTTAGGTGAAATGCGCTAAAAAGTAAATTGTCACTTTTATTTTTCAAAAAATTAAAACCTATTATTTATTTAGATGGTTTCTCATTCATTAAAGTAGATTAAAATATTGATAATACAACTATTTTCATATAATTTTTATTTATTTAGGCAACTAAACTGTCGTTAGTGAACGGTTCTTCCTCTAATATCTCATGTTGGTTTCTTCTTGTGGTATCGTTGGGCAAATAATACGCCACCACGGCTGAAACTGAGACAAATTTCAAATAAATTTTGAATTAAAAATTTAGTTGGATTCACCTAAAAATAGTACCTCGTTTCTAAAATCACGTTTATTAATTTTCTGATCGATAAGCAACGTCTATTATAAATAATGCCCGGGAAATTTTATTTATATCTATGCGTAGTTTAGTCACATTGCCTTCTCTAAATGGACATTTTTCGAAATGCATTATTTTCGTAGGTATTATTTATAATGTCCGATAAATCACTATATACGTGACATACAGATATACTTAGTGTGATGAAACTAACGTGCTAATAAAGAACCGTAGATATAAAACGCTAGTTCACATCTATGAACCAATAAGTAGTTGATAACTTGAATGGACATGAAGTTGGCTACCCTCGCACTGGTCATAGTCAAAGTCATTGCTAATGCCCTGGAAATGATAAAATAGTTAATAGCTTAGGTATACTTACAATAAGTCTAGGACTCGATTCTGCTATTTTTGCATAATAATCGCATCTCAATAGAATCTTAGCTACTTACATTTTGCTATTGTACTATATACCTAAAGTCCAATATTGCAATGTCATAAATCAATAGCGGCAGATATATTTATTAATTTTGTGATCTAGATATAAGAACTTTGTCATAAAGGGTTGTTGTTGATAAGCTATTGACTTTCCTTAATTACGCTGACGTTATAAAAATTGCTCTATCCTATCTCACTCTCGACCAGAGAATGATATTTTGTGTAGACCGTGTTTATCGAATTTATCATGCTTCGTGTGCTGGAAATCCGCTTGATGGCAAACCAACCTAGGCTGAATCAGTCTAACTCACTAGCAATGATTCTAGCCATAAGTTATGACATCTTATCAATGTTATGGCATCATTTCGTGTCATTTTACTACTTTAACATGTACTTTAGTAACAACAAACATACGATAAAGAATGAATATTGTGGATTTGATAGCAGTGTTACTAATTTAGTCATTTATCCTAAAATCCACCAAAAGGCATGTCAAAGTAATAACATAGATGTCGTAGCTATGGCTAGAATCAAAGCTAGAGAGTTAGTTGGTCGCATCCCTGGTACCCGGTGGGTTCACGGAGGAGAGTCCAACACACCTCTTACACTTGCCAGGCAGGTAATGCTTAATGCATTTCCCAGCCAATACGCACGAGAAAAGGTATACTTGCTATAAAATATTTTTTGGGACCTTTCGCGAGTGGTAATAACATGACATCCGAATTGTATGCATTTACGTTTCATAATGTCACTTTATCTGCAGAGTCAATGTAAAATGCAAACTTTTCTATTGTGTCAGATTTGGAAGAAGTACCTTCGTTGTTTCATATCCGAGAGCAGAAGAATGTTAGATACTCAAGACAAATATGTGTTTCAGTCTGAATTGTTGTAATAATGTTGATCTTTTAAACAAATAACATTAGGAAAGCTGATCCCTTCCTTGCAGGATACGGGTTTCTTCCAGCCTTGGTTTGAGGCTTATGGTGCATTTCCATTGGGTAATAAAAAAAGGTAGGTAGTGAGTATAAGAGACCAGGATGACCTGATTCTGAATCATGTAAAATTCCTAAGAAGTTCACGAAACTCATGAGTAAGGTCTTCTACCTCAAACGAGTAGGGAACAATGTTACACATAGCGCAGTATACAGCCCAAGAGCAACAATCCCCATGAGTTGTAGCATAAATAGCACTGCACTGGCAACGGCGTTTGGTACCACGTTGACTAGAATACCGCTCGCACCACACACTGAGGTCACTATCATTACCATATTACGCCTGCCGATGTGTTCTACCATCTGTAATTAAAAATAAACTTAAAAAAGTAAACCATGTCTAAATAAATAAATAATTGAGTAAGTAATTTTGTGAATTAACATATCCATTTTTTATTTAAATTTGGATTTGGTCATTACGTAAAGCATATTTTAGTGAATTCTCTCACTTCCTAAGTCTATCTATCTGTAAATGCAGCCAACGGTTTATCGTGCCTTCCGAAGCACGGAGTAGTTCGAAATAATATTTTTTTTGGTCGTGCATCCCGTGACCGACACTTGGGGAAGTTGCATATCAATTATCGAGGGCCACGGCAATTATCTACTACGCTACCTAGCTACTGTTTGTAGCTGTTTGTTTGTCTCGCTAAAACTCGATAACGGTTGGGCCGATTTAGCTGATTTTGATTTTAAAATGTTTATCTGTACTGTACTATCTGTACAGGAAAGCTTTGAACGGTGAAAAGTGTTACGAAGTACACCAGGTCATCTAGTTTTATATAACTACTGTCTTGTTGTCACTTACCAAAGTCAGAAGAGCGTTAGTCACCGACAACATCATAGACACCACAAGGACGATTAACAAAGCCTCAAAATTTAACGCACATTTAACAGCACTCTGTTGAAAAATATAAAAACGACCACAATTTTTTACTTTTTCTTTTTATTGCCACACGCTGATATGATGATCGAAAATAAAATGATTTTGCGCTTTACATCACATCACCAGCCTCGTAATATCTCTATAATGCTGGGGCTCAGGTCTTCCCTATGAATAAAATCGAATTGACTTTAACCTGCAAAGGTATTAAATAAATAAATGATCTAAATAAATAAAATCAAACTGAAAAGGGAGAATATGCCATCGTCCACCACGCGGGTCCAGTGTTGAGTGGTAAAATAAATAATATAAATAATAATTGGGCAGGCTATGGCGTCTAAAAGAATCGTTATTACTTACTATATGATACTTAAAAATTAATATTTACAAATTACATAATAAATCGATCACATAAACACATCGTATAAATAAGAGTACATTATTATAATCATGTTATCAAAAAAACTAAATAAATAAATATAAAAACGAAGAAACCAGACAGCATTCATAGTGACAAATAATTCTCCTTAACCCTACTTTTGAAACTGTTGAGATTGTGCATGTCTCACATCGTATTGCATTCCAGAGTCGGGCAGCTTGAACTTGAAGTAAAAGATATATCAATGAACTTAGGGGTTTGCAAGGTTTCTGATGACTTTAAAACCCCAAGTAACTTACTTAGTCTTAAGTTTTAGCCAAATTCTTTGCTTTCTATCAATGCTTGTAACAGTATAATGCCCTGATTAATCTGAGAGGCGAAGCCCCCACTACTAGGGCTCAGGCCTGCCCCATGGACGAAATCAAAATCAATTGATTATATCTACACTCACAGAAGCATCTTCAGGGTGAGAATCAGCCAAACTGGACGTGATGATAGAGCAGAGAGTGAGGTTTGTGCCTTCGCCGTTGCTTAGCGCTTGTACAAACCGATGCGCGATCGTGGGCAGCCATACTTTGAAAGCTGCCAATCTGGAAGCAGAAAAATTTAAAATGACCATTTTCGTCGTGAGTTCTTTTTATTAAAAAAAATAGCAGAAAATATAGGTTCTTTATTTGTTCTCATTATATTAAGATTTTAAAGGTTGTGCCAAACAAGAAATTAATTGCATTTATGAAAAGATACTAGTGTGTGTAATTACTCACTGTTCAAATAAAAATAGTACCGTCATTATAAAAGTATATTTCAGTAGAGGCGGTGTGAACAAAAGCTTGCAATTACTTTGGGTTCTTATTGCATGCTCTGATGTTGGAACTCTTCTCGTGAAACTTTTCACCTAAAATATTTTAACTTTATGACATTTTTTAGATTTCCTCAAATATTTTTCACTCTATGTATAATTATACATCTTACTTGAAATTCATTTGAGGAATTCCTGTTATTGATTCTGTGTATGATTTTAAGGACTTTCAGTGCCTCTGCTTCATTACCTTTACAGTAAAGAAATTTTGGACTCTCCTGCATGCAGGTGAGCCACAGCGCCGTAAGGAGACTGGGTAGAGAGTAGAGAAAAAGTAGTTGTCGCCATGAGTTCCAGTAGATGTTTAGGTAGGGCAGATGATAAGAAAACGCTAGCGGGATTATTGGCATCGCTAGAACTGAAAGCAAAACTTTCGTTTTTAATATTTTAATTGATTCCTTTTGGTCCAGAAACTATTGCTTGCCAATATACGATACATACCAGCCATGAATCCTTGCGATAGAAGGAAAATACTTGTCACGAGTAGTACGAGGATATTCCTCTTTGATGCTGGTACACTCTCACTGAGGATAGTCATCGCCAGGGAGTACTGTCCTGATATCCTTAAAATGATCAGGTTGTTACAGTTTCATGGTAATATTTCTGACATAAGTAATTCAAATCTTTCAAAACAAATTCTTGGCATGGAAGTGGAAACCTTTTAAGGGGCCATGATGTGTCTTTATTTATTCATTAATTTTGTTATTTGTACATTTAGTGATTGCTAAATAAGTGAATTATTATTATTAAAATATCAGAAAAGCGCGGTCGGCCGTACCATCTTTTTCTCGAAGCTATTCGGGTCATTTTTAACCCCTGTCGCTTAGTAATAGAAAAAACTTTGACTGAAGAACCGGTTCAAAAATCAGAATGGGTTGCTTTTTCCATTATGAAAATTGGTTTCTTAAATGATTCTTGGCCAATTGAGTTTCCAAATAAAATCAGTCTTCTTACATCAAGGAAGCGATGAATTGCAAAATAAGCAGAAAGATCCAATTTGTTGAGAGGCTGGCTAGAGCGTTGAGTAATGCTCCGGCAATAAGTGACGTCATTAGTGTTTTCTTCCTACCATGCTGATCAGCTATGCATCCCCAAACTACCGCCCCTAAAATGGCTCCTAGAAAATTAATAAGCAAAAAGGTTAATAGAATTATTAAGGCCGAAAAGCTATTATATTTCTTTTGCGTTTTTAAACATAAAAGTGTAAAGGCCATTGTACACCAACATTCCAGAGCCGCCAGACATTACTTATTTTCTGGCGGACAAATTCTAGGATAGGGTAGTTAGTAAGTGTTTATTTAAGTAGATATCTAAATGGTATGCTTATCTGCTAATCAAATCAAATCAATTCAGAATTATTTATTCAGTCTAGGCTGTTACAAGCACTTGTGAAAGTCAAGAGCTACGCCATCGGTTTGTAAATCGACGAGACCTTGTACAGAGAAGAACCTGCAAGAAACCCGGCAAGGGCTGCTTTTTTCTCCCTGTTTTATTTCATGTTTCTTAATTCATATGTTTTTTGTCAAAACACAAATACATTATGTGAAAACATGAACATGTGACTCTGTGGGGTTTCAAGACAAACATGAAGCAATATCGTAGTAGATCTTAGCCGTCACATTTTTGTTTAAATTTAATTCAATAATAAGTTGGGGAAAAGTTTCTTCGCATTTATTTATGAAAATTCAAAACGTTTTTAATAAAGTTTATTTACATTTAACTAAAGTATTGTTACGACTAGGGTTCTTGATAAAAATTAACGCAAATTATAGTTCAAAAACCGACATTACGTTTCATTGAGTTTCTTTTAGTGAGCTCGTGAGGTACCCAAATATGCAATTTTTTGTGTACCCAGCATTTTTCAAATACGCCAGAACTGTTTTGTGGTCAATCCCCAGTTCTTCACCGTAAGTTACATCGTAATCAATGATATATCGATCTTGCTCCACTTTTTCAAAAATGGCATCCATTTTGTCCGTATCAGGGCGACCGGAGCGACGTGCACGTTTGACATCAAAATTTCTGGACCGAAAAGGCATAAACCAAATTTGTGCTACTCTCACAGAAACTGCACTAGGTCCATAGAAAGTACAATTCTTTTTCGCAGCGTGCGTTATATTTTTACCTTTTTGTAACCAAATTTTAAAATGTATCTAATTTGTTCATTAGAGTTACTCATAGAAAATCACACATTTTCCTAATTTGAACTCGGAAATATTTTCTTAAATTTTTTTATGATACCGAAACCAGCCAGAAAGATTTTATTACTAGTTTATGCATGCTATATGCGTCAAGACTTTTCCCCAAAGTCAAAGGGTAAGGTGCAACAGTCACAGCTATTTGCACAAACGTCCATTAAAATTTTCATCAGTTTAAAGTGACATTACCTAAACAATTTTGACATTCATTAGAGCTTAAAGTCTAATAAGTTAAACATTCTAACAAAATTTGATTATTCATAAAAAGAATTATGTCAGATTTAATTAAACGTTTATTTAAATTAATGAGAGTTATTATTTGGATAATTTAAACTTGATTTAAACACAAACCTACTATAGGTCCAGCAACGAGTATGCCTTGCTGAGCACTGGTAGTATCGAGTTCGCAGGCGCTCACCGGCACTATGATGGTGCTGCTATAGAATATACATGCAAAAGATATTATAACGATGCCCGTCAGCGCTGCCATCGATACACTGTACAGGCCATATCCTGAAAATATACAAATAATCAATTTTTAAGTCATTCTTTAAAATACCCCGAAAAAATCAGAATTCGCAGAACAATGTATGAAAAATTGTATCAGTAAAATATCACGAAATTTGAATATGATTGGATTCAAATTATCATTTTTATACAAACATACTTTCTAGTGTCACAGTTACATGACTACATGTTGGTCATACGAAATCAGTAGTTCTCAAACTTTGTTGTTAAAAGACCCCTTTGGAAATTAAATATTTACATGCAGCCCTGAAGAAAAAAATCTAGTTTTGTGTATACTGTCAATTAACGATGAACTCATACTTTATTTTTAATAAAACGTATGTATAATAGAAAAAATGGGTTGAGTGCAAATCGGACTCGCGCATAACGGGACCGTACTATTATCGATAAAAAATTTATGAAAACTCGCTCTGTAGTAGCGAAAAAGTAACAAATGCTTGAAAGATTTGTCAGTCCTGTTAGGTACTGGGTAGCTCAGTGGTTAGAGTAGTCGCCCGGATTACGAAAGGTCGTGGGTTCGAATCCAATTTCAGACTGCCAGGGACAAAATGGATTTTTTAAGCATTTTCCAGTATAGCATTGTTGGTAGGGGTGTGTCTCCCACACTTGAATCTAAGAAACTTGGCACTTTAAATCTTGATTAGTCACGAACGGTTAACTAAATCGAAAAACAGTCTTTGTATACCCTCAATATTTTAACAATAAAGATCTATCCAACCATACCCACATGCATCATTCATCATCAACCCTTTTACGTCCCCACTGCAGGGGCTCAGGCCTTCCTTGTGGATGGTTAATGCCATGAACCTCCACGCTGAACCAATGCGAATTGAAGGGTATTAACGACTGCAAATGCAGCCGGGACCAACGGTTTAACGCGCCTTCAGAAGCACGGAGTAGCTCGAGATAATAATTTTTTAGTCACCCATCCAGTGACCGATCCTTGCGAAAGTTGCTTAACAACAACGATCGCGGGTCGCGGCGCTTATCCACTACGCCACCGAGCTACTCTTCCACACTAGAAAGTTTCACCATACCCACACTAGAAAGTTTTAATTCGACAAGAGTATACAGGTTGATTAGCCGACAAAAAGATAAAATAAAATCTTGAAAAAAATTTTTCTAGATTTTGTACTTCAGTTATATATGGCAAAATACAATTAGTTGATATTCTATTGAGCATTAACAAACAAAAATCAGCAGAATTGACATACTGGACGGTCCGGTGTCCTGTCCGCTCGTCTGGACGCTAGAGCGTACTGTTTTGTCCGGAGCGTACAAGCTCCATAATCTGTTAGCTAGCACTATTTGATATGGATCACAATGTGTTTATAATCTGAAAATAAAACCTCTTACCTGTTCTGTCGAGTGCCTCTTCAAACGTAATATTTTCTTCATCATCCAATACCACAGACATTTTAAGCACAACCAAATGGGTTTATGCCGAAACAAACTATATTTTGTACAAAACTGCTATATATAGAGACCCATATGGATCTACCGTACCATATATGGTACAGTAACTAAGTAAAAATATTTTGTCATACCAACAAAATAATAATTCATTTAATATTACCCACAATACGTACCTGCTAATAGTTTTATTTTACATATATTATTAAGTTATATTATTATAACACGAAAACTATGCCACTTTCATATTATTTATTTACCCATTTATTTGGAAGTTTTAAAGTATTTTTTTCTCCTTATTAAGTTAACTGAAGTTAAAATAACATAATTTCGCTACAAAAATATACGTTTTAATAAGTTAAACGTTTTTAAACACGAGTTCATATACCAGATAAGAATTATAATTGAAATGAATCTATCTGCTTTCTTCGTTATCAAAATGCTCAATGGTAAATGAAGTTCAAAGCGGACAAAAAATAAACACACCAAGAAACTAAGTTCTTTCTTAAAACTATCACTAACGTGATTTAAAAAAAAAACTTATTTTATCATGATCGGTTGCCCCACTTTCCACCCTGACTTCAAGCTAAATATTATTATAAAATATTTAAAAGAAAAACGAGATTTTAACTATCATTCGTCAGGATATTGGCAGGATGTTCTTGGAATAACATTAAAAGTATTTGAAATTTGTATTATTTATGGAGCTTTTATATTTTTTCTTACCCCTAAATAATTGCTAGTTATGTACACCCATAGTCTCGATATTAAACAATACACTTAAATATTTTCACTTAACAAATTAATGAGAACGTCATGACTGCAAAGTTTTCGATACAGTAATGATAAATATTAAAGTGTGTAATATAAATATTATTTAACTTATCAAAACGGTCGAAGCTCTCCGACAAAATGTAGGTATGTTATGATAACACAACAATGCAATTCTATGATTGAAATTATGAGAATGAAGCGCTTAAATAATTTATTCTAAAGTACATTTCGAAAGTTACTGTAAGTATTATCATTATCAGCCTATGTCCCACTGCTGGCACGTTCGTTCGCAATGAATGAATGGAATGGAATAGAGAGAAATTGATGTAATATAAATATTATAATTATAGCTAGGCAAATGTTTGACAACAATTTTCGAGTACGTTAAATATGGTTTGTATTATATTTTTCAAATAGCTCGCTTAATGATTGTTTTAAATATGCAAAAAAAAAGATGGATAAATTTTTGGTCACTTAACCAAGTCAAATAACTGTTTCAACTCAAGATGAGAGACAGGTGATTTAGGTGTCCTATTTGTTTAAAATGATTATTACTTATCCTGTTTTCCACTCCATAACAAAAAAACAACATTAATGTACATAGTATGTATTTATTAGTTACAAATAATTAAATATATACATAATTTAAAATATAGATCTTAATTAAAAAAGAGTATTTACATGTTATGATCAGATGAACTTACAATAAATCATTTGGATATTCCATTAAAACAGCCTCGAATTCGACGTCGAGCTCGTCGCTGTCACGTCGTAGAGCTTTAAAATAAGTTTTATTTGATTGAAGCTCTAAGCTATGATACCGCTATGCTCAAAGTCCAGTTTGACTTTGAGGATTTCAAATTAAGATTAGTTTTATTTACAGAATTCAAGTAATATTTATTAAATTCAGCTAGTTATTGTACTACAGTTCAGTTTTTTCCTCTTCGTTACTATTTTGAGTCTGCTGTGGTTGCAATAATCGTCTGTCATCGGGCAGGAAACTGGCCACTATCGCCGATGCTGAAAAATATCATTAGATGTGCTTATATCTTATCCGACAGATGTTGTCTTGAATAGAAAATACGCCATGGGCAAATGTTTCCAAGAAATAGTTTTTTCCTTTCTCCATATTATTTTGTTTGATCATTCAACTTTCCTATTTCAATCATAAATTAAATTGTATGATCAATCATAAAATTGTCAAGAAAATATGTAATAAAACAGCGCCATCTATTTGCATTCAATTACAACGCAACCATTGCCTATGATATTAGGGAGAAGTATACTCACAGGCGAAGAGTACGGAAAATATATAGAAGCCTGCGTCGCAATTAGTTTCCAAAAGAACGTTTAGGATCTGTATGGAGGCGAAAGTACCAATACGGCCACCAGTCAACGCCAGCGAAACCGCCAGTGCTCTGCAAACAAATAACACACAATAATAACAATAGGCTTCGAATTGAATTTATTTTTTAATGCAAACGTTAAGTTTTCGTCATCAGCCCTTTTACGTGCCGACTGCAGGAGCTCAGGCCTTTCTTATGCATTTGAGGGTAATTTCAGCTAGGACCAACAGCTCAACATGCTCTCCGAAGGTCGGAGTAGCTCTATAATAATTCTTTGGTCACCTGTCCAGTGAATCAACCCTTGCGAAATGAAAAGTTACTTCATTAGTAATAACAGTGTGAAGTCGCCTTTGTAAAAGTGGGCCACGTCTAGGGTGATAGACTACTGTGTGAAGTGTGAACTATCTGTTTTATTTCTGGAAATTTAAAAAAGTACAAAAGAAATTTAAGAGACGTGAGTTAGATTGGTATTTTGGGAGACTAAAGGAGTAAAGAATGCGCTTGGGCGTAGTGTTCTGTGTCCCAAGAAAGAGGTAAGGGAGCGCTTCCGCCCTATCCAAATATACACTCGCACCAAATCACGGGTTATTCCCAATAGGTACTCCGATCATTAGGGACAGTGGGTTTTTTTTCCCAATCTTCCGATTAATGGGTTTGGTAGGAGAAATGGGAATACTTTATCCCATACCTCCGATTGAATGGGTTTTGTTTTGAAGATAATTGAGTTTAGTGATTTGTTCTCAAATAAATAGTAATAAAAATTTTTTTTTTCAAAATAATGAACTGAATTAAAATGTTAAAAATAATACTTATGTCAAAAGTGATTTAATTATATAAGTGGCTATAAAGAGTAAATATCTCTAGCACTTGAAGATTCTGATATTTCACGATGAATGATTGAGTCAGTGAGTTACCTGTCGCTTTTAAATTGCCCATATAGTATTTATTGATGAAATAATCTATTCACTAGAATGACTACATTCAATTATTGAAAGAACAAAATCCATTCAATCGGAGGTATGGCAAAAAATCTTACGAATCGGAGTACCGATCGGAGGACTGGGTATAACCCCAAACCACAAAAGCAGGCATTTACGGTCGTGCCATTTGGCATGGCTCGAAATGATCAAACAATTATCATATTTACGATCAGAAAAAAAAACTTTCATTTACTTTGTGATCGCACAAAATAAAAGTTCATTATACGTAAAACACGCCATTTAGCGCGATGGCATAACCATGAATGTCCACCTTTGCCATACCACGCGTCTACGTGATATTCTTTAACTAATATTTATTTATTACATTTGACGAATTTTGCATGTGGATGCAATTGCATGCTATACTGAAAAAATGCTAAAAACTCCACTTTGTCTCTGGCACTCTGAGATGGATCATAGATATTTTCCAGTGCTGCCTTTACCTGAGATGCGTCGGGAAGAGTGCTACAATGATGGCAGTGTATAGTCCGACGACTATAATACCGGTCAGCAGCACCATGTAGAGGACGGCGCTGGCGATGGTGTTCGGCACCAGGTTCACGAGGATGCCGCTCGCGCCGCACAACGCGGTTATCACCATCACTAGATTACGCCGTCCGACTTTGTTTACTATCTATTAAATAACATAAAATTAACAAGATAAATAAAAGCTTGCAATAAAATCTACTTAGATCAAATGTAACAATATTTTTATTTCATTGAAGCTCTATGGCGTGACGCGTGGCATGAAAATAGAATAGGCCATTTTTATTTGTATTGTTATGTTATAAAAATCATTTCTTATCGTTTATTTTTTAAAGGAGCTTACAGATTTTAACATTATTTTCGGCATTTTAATTTATTTATTTATTTCATTAAGGTTTAATGAAGACGTTAAGCTCTAACGAATGTTCTAAATTTGAAAATTGTATAGGTAATGTAGCATTAAATCTATAATAATTTCAATGGATGTTTGTGCAACGGTAAACGTAACAATCTGTTGGTTGAAACATTTTGTATTTGTTCCAACATACAGATTGTTACTTTGAGAATGAATAATGAATTCAGATAATTTATTTTCAGATTAGTTGACTATTGTTCTTGTAAAATTAAAGAATAAGCAAAGACGTACATAGTAAATATGAAATATGCAACTTACCATGCTTATTAAAAGGTTGACTATTGACTGGAGAGCGCCGACAGCCAGTACTATCAACATCGCCGTCTCATTGAGACTGCAAGGCACCGCGTCCGGCTGTAAGGAATGTAACACGGTCGTGTAAATAGAAGCAAATTTTTCTTTCATTCACCCTATTTTTATCGTGAGCCAGCCATCTGCAGAGCGACCTGCTATCTCCTCTAGCTGTATCTATACGTTATAGCGCTATATAGCTCATTTGACTACTTGGTCATGTGCTCTATTAACGAAAAACGAACGATAAAAACTGTTGCGTATGGATTTTTTAGCAGTTTTTCCAATTTAGTATTTTTTTCTTAATTTATCGACCAAAAGACGCGACAAAGTAGTCAAAATGTAATCATGATATTCGGTATCGAAAGTGGTATCCTATGGCTAGAGAGTCATAGGATACCACTCCCGGAATCGTTATTCTTAGGCCATGGGATGGGTGACAAACAAAACTATTATATCGAACTACTCTGTGCTTCAGATCAAATCAAATCAAAATTATTTATTCAGTCTAGGCTGTTACAAGCACTTGTGAAAGTCGAGAGCTACGCCATCGGTTCGTAAATCTACGGCGGGAGACCTTGTACTGAGAAGAACCGGCAAGAAACTCGGCAAGGGCTGCTTTTTTCTCCCTGTTTTATTTCATACAGAGCGTCAAGATTGAAAATGACTTCATTAAAATTTGAAGTCACTTTCCATTACAATATTACACAATATAAGAGTAAAACAGTATTTTCGTCAATCCAATCACATGTGTAGCCAAAGAAGCTCACCGATTAACAATTTAATATATATGAAAAATTTATAGTTTGGTCGTTTAAATATTCATTTACAGTATAATATCCTTTACTGAGTAAACAATTCTTAATATGGGTTTTAAACAATGGTAAATTTAAAATTTCCATAGGAATTTTGTTATAGTAGTGTACACCTTGACCCATAAATGATGATAGAATCTTCTTTAGCCTGCATGACGGCAAAACAAGTTTATATTTGTTTCTAGTATTATAATTGTGTATGTGACTATGTTTAATATAATTGTTAATATTGTTTCTAACATAAAGTATACAATTGTATATGAATTGGGAGGCCACTGTTAATATCCCAATTTCTTTGAATTTATCTCTTAGTGATGTTCTTGAACCCAATTGATAAATAGCCCTTACTACTCTTTTTTGTAAAATAAATATAAACTCTATATCTGCAGCCATACCCCACATCAGAATGCCATATGATATAACGCTATGGAAATAAATAAAGTATACTGTCCTAGCGGTATCTACATCTGTAAGTTGCCTAATTTTTTTTATTGCAAAGGCAGCTGAGCTTAGTTTTCCTGCCAATAATGAAATGTGAGGATGCCATTGCAATTTAGAATCCAGCGTTACACCTAAGAAGATTGTTGAATGAACCAACTCGAGCTTTTCATTATTAAGTTTAATTTCTGTTAGTTCAGCTTTTACATTAGGTAACATAAACTTTATACAATTCGGTTTTTAGCATTTAATTGGAGATTATTTACAGTAAACCAAGTCATAATCTGTGAGAGAGCATTGTTTACATCGTCAAAATTATGTTTACATCTATCAATATTAAATATTAAAGAAGTATCATCTGCAAACAATACTATATTGCATAAAGTTTCGGCAAAAAATGGCAAAACATTTATGTAAGTTAGAAACAGAAAGGGACCCAGAATAGATCCCTGGGGAACTCCCATTTTTACTTGTGAACCAGATGATATCACACCGTTAATATCGATAGTTTGAGGTTTGCAACTGAGGTACGACAATATTAGTTGTAGGACAGAGTCTTTGATACCATAGTAATTTTGTTTCGTTACCAGTGGTCGATGCTCAACGCAATCAAATGCCTTGGATAAGTCACAAAATACTCCAAGAGCATTCTGTGACGCCTCCCAAGCTCTGAATATATGTTTAAGATGTGCTACACCAGCATCAGCAGTAGAGCGACCTTTTGTGAAACCATATTGTTTAGTATGCAGTAATTTATTTAAATTAAAATAAAACAATAACTGTTCAAGAATTCTTTTTTCGAAGATTTTACTTAACGTCGGTAATATTGATATAGGTCTATAATTACTGTGGTCTTTTCTAAAATAGCCTTTGCGGCAGTTGGTGAAGGATTTAAACCAGATGTTGTTTCAATTGGTATGTTTAAAAAATACTCATCAAATATATAAGCAATTTTATCATGAAATTTGATGATCGTGTTATTAAAGTTAAGTGTCAGATTATCTTCACGTATTTGCTCCTTACCTGTTTCACGGTTTATTATATTCCAAGTTCAAAACAACTTGGAATATAATAAACCGTGAAATTTATTAACTTTAATATTGGAATTCTTTATTTTCTCTTTAATAAAATTTGACTTTGCCGCAAAACACACTCTTTTAAATACTTTTGAATAATTCTTCACTTAATTAATGAAACTTTGATTATGGTTATATTTTCTTAAAGCGTATAATTCATAACGTTTGTTTCTACTTTTATAAATACCTGTTGTAGCCCAGGCACAGAACTGTAACTTTTGTGTAACTTTTACGGTCTTACATGGAAAAGCCTTTTCGAATTAATTTTAATAAGGCAGACTAGATTACTATAAAGAGCATCAGGACCATCATTTGGCCATACCATCTCAATTAATTTCTCATCTATGTTATTTTTAAAATTATCTAGGCGTATTTTAGTAATTGTGCTACACTTAATAATTTTTGGATCATTAGTGATATTAATCCTATATGTGGTCTTCAGTCCGTAATGGTCAAATGTAAGATTGTTGAATACAAGTTTATTAATCGGATCATAATCAGAATATACATTATCCAAACAAGTGGCTGAATGTGCCGTTACTCTAGTAGGCTCAAGAAATTGATTAAAAAAATTGAAGCATTTAAATAATGATAGCAAGCGAACGGATGTTGAACTGTTCACTAGAAGATCTACATTAAAATCACACCATACAATCAAATATTTGTTTTTTGTCTGTAATTTCCTAAGTGCATCTTCCATCACAGATTCAAAAGTTCCATAGTCACTATCAGGGGGTCGGTATACACATACTACAATCATATTATTTAGCTCCACACAAGATAACTCAATATGACGTTCTACTGAGAGATTCACTATATCTTTACGCTCCTTAAACTTGAAATTATTATTTACAAATATTAATGATCCTCCCCGCTGGGTTCTCCTACGTGTATATGAACTGAGCATTTGTTTTTTTTTTAAATAAAATGACTTTTCACAATGCCTCAGCCAATGCTCCGTTAAACAATATATATAAACATCATGTTCTTTTGCAAATGTGCAAGGGACCAATGCTTAATGTGCAAAAGGCACGTTAAGCATTGGTCCCGGCTGCATTTAGCTGTTATTCAAAATGAAAATAGTGTAACGGTGTGCCATGCCACCGTTTGTTTTCCTAGGTTTCAGTATGCAAACTTTTTGCTTTTGAAATTCAACATCATTTCATTTTACTATTCGTCTTTCGTAATTTAAAATTTTGACTAATCAATTTTACTCTTTATGGATGTCAGTTCGTAAGAAATTCTCCTATACACAAGATGAAATTATAATATAATACAATATTATTGGTATAAATTTTACTATGTAATTTTAATAATTCATATATTATGGTGATACAATAATATAACATATTTACTAAATTAAAACTGTATTTTGTACGATCCAAAAGTGTAACAAGAAGCCCGACAAGGGGTATGTATTCGTTTATTTGATAAGAATGTATTAGTTTAAGTAACTTACGAACTGTTTTTTAAATTTATTTTTGTTTGTTACAGTTTTTTATTATTACCCTTATTTCATTAATAAATTATACTCAAGCTGATCAGCCTATTTAATTGACCGAAGCACCGAACCCGTAACAATAGTATATCTCATTTCTAAGGATCTGTCACAGCCAAAACTTGAATTTAATGTAAATTCGATAGAAAAAAAAGACGTAATTTTGTAAAGACAAAATTAATAAACATGTGACTCACTTTGTAGACAAAAGAATTATGCAGCATTTATTACATTCATCGAAATATTTTGTGTAAACCCACATAATAAAACCAATATAAACCCTTTTTACACAATTCGCCGTCCTCTGTCCTTATCTATAAACAGAGACAATAATTTGGCTTCACCACCTTTTAATAAATGCATAAATCTCAAACATTGTACAGATTCCAAGGTATATTACGAAGTATCTGAGGCAACGAAAGTACAACAACATACACACCCAAGAAAATATAGATAATTAATTTTCAACGTTAACCCGACCGGGAATTGAACACAGGACCTCAGAGATGGGAACACTCAAGTTAAACCAAGGCTACGGAGAATAAAACCCATTTTCATTAACTTAGAATAAGGCATAGCTTAACTAGGAAACGTCTAATCTTCGATTCGCCTACGCTGATTAGTTTGACGTAAATTTAACTCCAAATAATATTTTTTTCTCTTTAATCCCTTGACACACACGTGACCTGTCATATTGCAAGGATACCTTTTTTGTAACGCAGGGGTAATGCAACCCTAAGCCTTAAACAAGGGCTTTCCGACACCGCACCCGTCCTGAAAAGGACAGGCTCATGACAGGCTTAAGCGAGGCCGGCCTTTTAAACTTTAAAAATTGCTTGACGTCCTAAATATTCAGGCGATAAATTTGGGGAATCTTATGTTTGAAAACGGGTGTAACTTACATTGGGCACGACATCGATGTCGGTGCCGAGGAATTGACATAGAGTGAGATCGGTGGGGGCACCGCCGTCCTCCCAGTGATCCGCGGCGAACATCTGCATGAATTTATTCGCAACAGTTGGTAACCACACCAGCAGGCCACCCACTCTGAAAAGATATACACCAAACATAATATGAAATAAAAATCTAAAGAAACATTGAGGTTGTGTCTTTTGTCTACATGAATAAAATTATTAAGTTAGAAAATTTTCAATTGAACATCTCTGTATGAAATAAAACGGAGAAAAAGCAACCCTTGTTGAGTTTCTTTCTGAGAGGGTTCTTCTAGATCTCTTGCCGTAGATTTATGAATCGATGCATGGCATAGAGTTATGACTTTCGCATTCAACGAAAACTCCATTAAAAATAAGTGATTCCCTTTAGGTCAGAAGACTCGGTTTTGGTCATTACCTCCTTTTTCTAACTAACGTTTAGGCAAGTATACTTTAACGTTAACGGAGTTTGAAATCTTGAATTATAGAAAAACAAACCACGTTAACAGATGTGATGTGTTAAAGTTAACTTTATAGCAACTCTTGAACTCGCCAAAACCGGATCGCCTGCCCTACAATGATAAGTAAACGCTGCACTTACTGCTGGAATACCAAGAGTGTGGTCATAATAATGGTGAACTTGAGCAGCGGCGCTCTGAACAGCGGCACTATTTGCTCCTTCATCGATGGTTTGTCTTGCTTTTCCACTTCTCTTATGAGACCTTTCACCTACAAAAAAAATTGTATTTTATCTTTAACATCATTCAAACTTATTCATTCGATTTAGTCATTATGCCGATATATAAAGCAAAACAAAGACAATGCATTGTCTTATTTGCCATGGATGTATAACGTGATATTTTTTTGATAAACATAATTAATTACAAAAAGAAATCAATTATTAATATCAGCTTATTAATCAGGAGAGGCACTGGTCTTCCCTGAAATGGCGAAGCAGCTATGTATGACCCATCACGCGGGCCCAGTGTGTGTTGGTGGGCGTGGCAGCTGGGACCAACGGCTTAAAGTGCCATCCTAAGCACGATATAATAAATTTTTGGTCACCCATCCAATGAACTACCATTGCGAACATTACTTATCTACAGCATCGCAGACAGAATGCGCTAGCCACTACGTCACCTAGCTTATATTATTATATCAAAATAGAAAGTAACGTAAAAAAGTGAATAATTTTTACACTTACCTAAACGCGAATTAAACATTTCTATATTTTGTGTTTTATCTACTGTATGTATTATTATACCTGGTATTCTTCTTTAGAGCTCCTATTGTTGATTCTGTGTATTGTTCTTAAAATCTCCAAGGCCTGTTCTTCGTTACCTTGAGATAATACAAATTTAGGACTCTCCGGCAAGAAGAATAGGCAAAGAGCAGTTATAAAGCTTGGTATGGAGTACACCACCATCAATGTTCTCCAGGAGTTCCAGAATATATCCAGAGCAGGAAGATAAGTGGAGAAACTTAGTGGTATAATAGGTATAGCCAACACTGTAACAAAAAATAATATGGAAGTCAGCTATACGGGTGGTAATTTTTTTGTGAGATACAGAATCATAAAGTACTCGTAAATATCTATATATGAAGGTTTTGTATTGTCAAAAAAACTAATTTGGATAAATTCCAGTCATTTATTTTGATATAATAACAAGGTGTTGATCGAATTTCGATAAAATTTATGGGACCATCTTAGATGTATAAACTTTTTGGTACAATAATTTTGAAAATTGGTTTACACATTGCGGACAAAATTGGTGATCATACATCACATATTTGATGTATGATCTCCAATTTTGTCCGCAATGCCGCAGTCGAATAAGAACCTCCGCTTTTTTTCTTTTTGTCTTTGATCTTCGACATGATTTATTTGTATAATTCACTTTTCGTAATTTGAAATTTTGAGTAATTCAATATAGTTTTTATGAACGTCAGATCGTGAAAATTCGTCGAGTTATTGCTAACTCAAAACATACATGCCTACTTCATTTTAATCAATAATAATTTGTTGTAAAAAAGTGTTAAAATATGTTTATTATTACCTGTTTCCGAGTTTCTTTCTCACGAGTTAGAACTCGAGAAAAATTTATACTTTATAAAATCAAATATAACAAAGTTAAATTACTCACTTAATCTGAAAAAAAGGGGTATGTAATTGTTCTATTTAATTATTTTAATATTATCATTTAGGTAACTATACGAACTGTTTTGATATTCCTTTTTGTTTGTTACAATTTTTTGTTAACCCTTTATTAAATCAAGTTCTCTGGCTTAGTCAGCCTTTTATTCATTTGCCTTAGCAACGAACCCGCTACATTTGTTATGAAATTTCCAATTTTATTACAATTTCCTTAATTTGCTAACAATTATTTTATTTTATTTCAAAACAATAGATTGTCTAGCTTTTCGCACAGCGGCTACGCCCGTGTGGTCCTGTATTATACATTAAACCATACACTTGAATAACTCTGAATATTGATAAAAACCACATTATAATATCTTAGCGTACAGACAACGGGAAGCGACTTTGTTTTTTATACTATATAGAAACAAATGAAAGATTGAAAAGATTTTGAGAAATTAGCTATTTAAATAAGACGATGGAATAATAAATAGTGGTAATATAATAAATGTATGTACCAGCCATTAATCCTTGTGACAACAAGAAGATGCTGGTCACCAAGAGAAGGACGATATTCCGCTTGCCCATGGGAACACACTCACTCAGTAGTGTCATCGATAAGGAGTATAGACCAGATGCACTGGAACAAATTATGAATGACCTACAGCTACAACGAATTTTAAACACAATTCCTCAAGAACGCTTATATAAAATCAACCGTACGTTATTATACCATTATAAATGCATTTACAAGCGCACTAGTATAGTCCATACTTATTCATACTAATATTATAAATGCGAAAGTAACTCTGTCTATATCTGTTTTGTTTTTCACGCATAAATCACTACACATAAGGTCGGCTCAATGAAATTTTTCCAATGTTTTGCATTGGAATGAAACCCAAAAAAAAAATCAGCCCAAAATATAAGATTGATAGAAGGTACATTGATCAAAAAGTATAACTCTTTATTTTGTAGTTTTGAATACCGCGGACGTAGATTCATGGTCAAAGAACATCGATTCAAATACTTCGAGCAAAACAGATTGTCAAATTTATTAAGTGTAATCAATCAAAAATAATTTCTGACGCTCTATTTCATATAATACGCCATCTTCATTCGTGATAAACTGGTTTGTTAATTTCGCTTTTATTATCTTTGTATTTATGAGAAGATTAAAACACCTATGTTGTTGTATTAAACATTCTTGGACCCTAGGAAGGAACATGTCATTAATTTCATTTTCATTTTACATGTAGAAATTTATTTATTCACTTGACATTGGCAGAATTTTGCAAAATGCGCAGATAAGCCATTAATAAAATAAGAAAAAGAACCCCTAGGAAAGGAAGTCAGGAAGTCAGTCTAAATCAAGAAAGACTTTTGTATAATCGGTCCAGTACTTTTGGAGCCTATTCGATACAAAGAAACAATAAAATTTTTCATCTTTACAATATTAGTTATAGATGACACTAATGAAAAACTTACAATATGGAAGCGATAAATTGTAGCACCAGTAACATGATCCAGTTGACGGAGAGGCTAGCTAAACTATTGATAGTGCCAGCTGCCAGCAGTGACACCAGCAGCATTCGCCGCCTCCCACGAGTGTCACCCAGGTATCCCCATAGAACTGCCCCCAATAAAAGTCCTGTCGGCACAAAAGCCGTGTACATGATAAAATTACCGTAATTATTAGTATAATAATAGGTAATCAAAATAGATATTTCCTTTAACTTGTACTAATATTATAAACTTTTCCGGAGATTTCACTCCGGTAAATTATAGCTTAAGCTATGTGACCTGCGCATGAAACAATGTTCCGTAAGTAAAAGAATTTTTAAAATTGGTTTGATAATTTTGGAACGTGTTCGATAGGTCCCATACTTTCGGAGCTTATATCATGAAACACTGTTGGGGAAATTAAGCATTATGGTGTGACGAGAAATTCACAAAATCTAATAAAATCATGTCTTTCTGCTAGAATTCACAAAGTAGTGATTAATGAAGCGAAATCTGCAGGGGCACCCAGTTACTATAGGACGCACCTCAGAGCGATCCCTGAGGGCAATGCCGATTTATTAGGACCATTGCTTTTTCTAATTTACTATTAATGATCTTCGTCACTTTACGAAGAATTTGTGCGAGACTGTATTATTTGCAGACGACACCTCTTTAGTGTTTAAAGTTAAGAGGGGTAATGATTGTTTTGACGATGTAAATGATGCTCTCGACAATATTCTTAATTAATTTAAAGCTTAATTCAAATAAAAAGAAATGCATAGAGTTTGCATTACCTAATGTGAGGCATATTAGTACACATATATATGTAAATAGTGAAAAAGTGGAGTTGGTAGAATAGACAAAGTTCCTTGGTATGACACTAGATTCCCGACTGCAATGGGATCCTCATATTGATAACTTGTTAAGTAGACTGAGTTCTGCAGCATTTGCTGTTAAGAAAATTAGACTCTTGACAAATGTTGAAACGGCAAGATTTGTATATTTTAGTTATTTTCATAGTGTAATGACGTATAGTCTATTGTTGTGAAGTTCTGCGGCTAGCATTCAAGATATTTTTATTTTACAAAAGAGAACTGTCCGCGCTATATATAATTTACGGTCTAGGGAATCTCTCAGAGAAATATTTAAATAAATAAATATTTTAACTGTTGCCTTTCAATACATCTATGAAAATATTATGTACACAAGAAAAAAATACGATTTCTTCACAAAAAAGTAGTGTTCATAATCTTAACACAAGAAATAAGAATAAACTTGCCGTTCCAAGCATCAGACTTCAAAAAGCAGAGGATAATTTCTGGGTAAATGCATTGCTATGTTCAATAAAGTTCCACAAAATGTAAGTGGCCTACCCATAAATAAATTTAAAATTCATGTAAAGAACATACTTATGAGTAAAGGCTATTATAAAGTTGATAATTATTTTAAGGACCGCAATGCATGGAATTAATAGCCTTCGCTTTGTTCTATAAATACTAATTATATGTTCAACCTATGTCCTACAGACTTTGAAAGTTGTATTTATTATTGTTATAATACGTACTATTATGGTAATGACATGATTTATGTAAATGTCATTACTTATGATAAAAAGCTGGTAAGTTTCTTTCGCTTGTTCTTCTTGTCAGCTAAAAGACGTCTTGAACAAGTGGTAGGGGGAAAAAAAAATATTTGGACGATTTAAAAGTGCTTGAAACAAGCATACTTGTGTAAAGATATTTTCATTTAATTTTATTTCATTATTGCGAATAAACAAATATAGAATTAATATTTATTTCCTCTCAATAATATTAATATAAATAACGTAGGCTATAATGGATGACATAAGGTATAGTTTATGTAGGCGAAGCCACGGGAAAACAGCTAGAAAATAATAAAAAACCGCCCAAGTGCGAATCGGACTCTCGCACGTAAGGTTCCGTATCGGAAACGAGCAAAAATATCACTTTTGTTGTATGGGAGCCCCCTTAAATATTTATTTTATTCTGTTTTTTAGTATTTGTTGTTGAATTAGCAACAGAAATACATCCTCTGTGAAAATTTCAACTGTCCAACTTATAGAGATACAGCCTGGTCACTGACAGACAGCTAAGATTTAGTAATAGGGTTCCCATTGTACCCTTTCGGTATAGAACTCTAAAAACTGACCAATAACAGGAGCGGCAGCGAGCATCCCCTGCTGGGTGGTGGTGGTCTCCAGCTCGCACGCGCTCGTCGGCACGATGATGGTGCTGCCGTACGAGATGAACACAAACGTTATGATGATGAACCCGATCAACGTGGAGTACAGGAAAGTAAAAAGGCCGAATCCTGGAATTAAAAAAGAATTAGAGATGATGATCCAGTTTTGGTCATTTTAAGATTGCGACCTGAATTTGGCCATTTTAGAGTTACGAAGGAGTGAACTTTGATAGACCACCTCCATCAGTGTTATCAGTTTAGTCACAATGCAATATGTAATTTTTTTTTTTTAATTCTTGCTGTAATAGAGCCCTTTGTACTGTTATTGCATGCTATTTGAAAATGGCGAAACATGAGGTATTATACAATATGTACAAGTTTAACAACTTTATGTTTAGAGCAAAACAAACAATATCTAATGAATTAAAAACAGTTCACGGTAAAGTAATATATTTACGTATACGTTAATTAGAACGGTTTGAATTACCAAATGCCCAAAACCGAGCCTTCTGACCTACTATCAGCTCATTAAAGTCCCCTCAGCTGGGCGATATACCTTCTCTTTGAAATCAAACATATAGGGAGAATGGGTCAAAACCCATCACGCGAGCCCAGTACCAATCACTGTGCTACCCACTATATATACCAAGACGAGACCAACGGCTTAAACATAAAAGATTACGACATATTATTTTTTTGGTCACCCATCTTATAATAAGCCCTTGCAAATGTTGCTTAACTTCTTCATTTCATACACACATCGCTTAACATATAGCTCCTCATTTACTATATTATCAATCAACAATTAGATCTAGTAACTATCATGCACACATTATTGTATGCTAATTGTATGTAAAAACATAATTGCACCAGTCAGCAGCTGTATTGTAATTGTATTTTTTTTCTTTCTGTTAATTATATTTTACATAATTCTGCATGATTTATTATAATTGTGAACTGTTATTCTGACATCTATGTCCAGATTGATTATAATGTGTTTTATTTTAATTTGATGTTGATCTTTATTTTATATTGAGATTTTTAATTTGATTTATTTAAAAAAAAAATATTGGAATAACTGATTTATATTAACCTAATTTATACTTATTTAATTAATTTTGTATAATTAATAATCTGTGATTAAAATTGCTTCAATAGCAATGTCGTGTCACCTAAAAAGGTGTATGCATCAGACCGATAATTTATCGATACTGTATTGCAAAATATGTATTAATGCACGCACTGTTGGTGTCCTATAAATCAATAAGTTTAAAACCCGACCAATTGAGAGTCTGGCTCGCGCACTGTAGGTCCTATCCCATAATCTATTAAAAAAGTACGTTTGGTATATAGGAACCTACATAGAGGATTAAATTTTGTTTTTAATTTGTGTTTATAGCGGCATCAAAAATACATCAACTTAGAAAATTTCAACTGTCTAACTGCCACGGTTCATGGGATACAGCCTGGTGACAGGATGGACAGACGGACACCGGAGTCTTAATAATAGGGTTCTCGTTTAGGTAGGGAACCCTAAAACTGTTTACAACTATTTGTTTTCAATATACACATAAATAATATATCATTATCATCTTATGATAATATAATGAAAATAACACCGAAATTTGTTGTGTCATCTAATCTTCATTACATACACTTTTACTTTTGATATTGGATTAATATGATATAGATAAATTTGATATAGATAGTATAGATGGATATTATTTTACGACAACAGTGTAGTATTTTTGGTATCTATCTATTCGGCTTTATATTATTTAAAACGTGGCTTGATCAAAGAGTCTTTATCTCAATGAACGCGTCCGTATCCGAGTGGCAAGTGTGTTTTACGCTAACGCGTGCACTAGTGAGCACGTTAAAAATTTGTATGGAGATTTATAGTTCTTGATAGTTACCGCTAGGGGCGCTGTACCGGATTCCATACTAAAATCGTAACGCGCTCACGATCGATAGTGAACGTAAACGTCAACAAAACTTACACTAAACGCTCTGTAAATTGTATAAAGCAGTCGTTTCTAGTTTTGAACAATGTACATATTATATATAAATATGGTAGCTAGTACATTTATATGTCTAACTATACAGAAATTTATTTCTGTGTGTTAAACCAACTTTTAAACTTATTAATTTATGGAATGACCATTTTTTTCTTTGTTATGGTTAATAAGTTATTGTCGTTTGTTATTTTTTTGCCGTCCGGATAAGTGTGGTATATGAGGAATTGTGAGATCATGATTGTGGAACTAATTAAGACACCTACAAGGAAAACGACTAGCTTTCAATTGGGTTTATATAAAAAGAAAGTTCTACTCAACGACTCAAAATGAGTAACTATATTTTTCGCCCATTAGAACATTAGTGCTAGATTCTACGTAGCGATCTCAGCATACAGACGGCGGGAAGCGTCTTTAATTTATATTATGTATAGGTAGATAATAATTGTCAATTAGCCAACAATAGGCTGACAACAATATTGACATTTTATATGCCGGTGTCTAAGAAAAACCTAATTCGAATGTTCAATCTTAACAAAATTGTGTAATTAGTGTTATAATTTGTGTTTCTGTGTAAGCACCTACAAATAGGTGTCCGATTTCTAATGTGAGTAGAAACTAAGCTTTATTATACATATCTACTACTATAATAACATCATTCAATGAAACAAGAATTTAAACAAAATATTGTAATAATAAAGTATCATACAACTAGAGTTGTAAAACTATGATAAGAATAATTTGAACGTAGGTATAATATGTATATGTATATACATATACATAACTTACTTGAGTAAATCTTAGAAAATATCTATGCATATGTTAGCTATTGCCAAATAAATTTAAAATTTCTCATACTTAAATATGATCGAATATTACCTACCTATCGGTAACATTGTTTTTTACAGTTCATAATGACAACAAATACCTGTGTCACAAGGTATTTTATTAATATGAGTAAACATCTTTCTTTATATTTCCTTATTTATACTTAACTGCCTAACTATAAGACAAAATTGTAACTGGGAAACAGAGAAATAATTTTTTATTATTATTATTATAATATTAAAACCATTTTGGTCCACAACGAGGGTGGATAATTTAGATTTTTTTTAATTCCTAAAGCACATAATATGATATGCATATAAGTTGAGGATAAAGATTATGCATTTAACAGAAGTAAATAACTGAAGTATTTTTTTTTTATTTACTTGCTTTTAAATAGGGTACAATTTTATAAGGTGATATTACAATAAGTTAGAACTTAAGACCAATTTAGCCGTACGTAGATAACATTTATATTATTGCTAGTTCATACATTTGGACCATTTTCATGTCATTACACAAAATTATCAATTTTACATGTTATGAGAAAAGTTACTAATTTTATTAATAAAATTTCAAATAAAAATATTATAAAACAACATCAAAACTGATCAAAATCATCGCAACTAAACTTTGTGTCAACTATAGCTTAATCATATTAATTTACTGAATGTTATATTTCAAAAGATCGTCTACTGAGTAAAATGCCATTTCCAAGAACCATTTATGTAAGGTGGATTTAAAACGAGTAGTTGGTAATTGTTTGCAATGATCTGGTATTTTATTATATGTTTTACCGCACATGGCATAAGTATTTTTTTATAATCTTTCGTTCTTAGGAGCGTGTTTCAAAATTAACCTTTCACGGTTTCTCATGGCTCTTTGTCTTAAATCTTGTGCTTGTGTGAACTTTTGACTATTTAATATAACAAATATACCAAAGTGTGTCTATAGTGTCAAAATTTGGAGAGTTTTGAAGTAGGGTTTGCATCTTTTTTGCGCAATAAATAAAATATTTATATCAGTGCCCTGCTCCAAAATTAATAATCCATATCTTAAGATTAATTCTATGTATGTAAGACATGACTGTCGTATTTACATTAGCTACTTTAGTTAGTTTATACAAAGGGAATGAAAATGAATTTACTTCATTTATATGTTCTTTCCAACTAAATTTAGAATCCATTATTAGACCCAGAAATTTTACGTTTGAGTTTGATTTTCAAAAATATTGAAATTAATTTGATTAGTTTTTGTTATATTTATTTTTAGATTTTTATTCTGAAGCCAATCAAATTTGTATTTTTCTAGTAAAAAACTTATTTTCGTTCAAATTATTGTGCACATGTCGACAGGAAATAGAACAGTGTTAAATTTTGACATGTTGGGTAAATCATTTTATGTAGAGCAAAAATAACAAAGGGCCTAAGTACACTCCCTTGGGGACAACGAAATTATTATATTCACATTCAGATCTGTATATGTAAACTGTATGTATTATTTTTGTTGAGCTATGATATTTCTACGGATTGCATTCTGTTATTTAAGTATGATTCCAGCCGTTTCTGACCCGTGGAACACCAAAGTTCACCTAGACCAGTTTTTTAATAGCACACTATGAGGAACACAGTCGAAAGCATTTGACATATCAAAGAATATTACTGTTGTATAATATTTCATATTAACTCGTACATTTAACATTACTTCATTTACTAGATTAGAAACTGCTTGAGTTGTCTATTTATTTTTTTGGAAGCCTTGCATAAGCCAGCATATTGGTTGTGCCTTGTGATTTTAAACGTAGGTCGCGCATAACCTTTTCAAATATTTTTGATATGACAGCTAGTATTGCTATTGGACGATATTTGCATATATCATTTTCATTCCCCTTTTGATACAGCGGTTTCACAATTGCCACACACTTTAACATGGGATTTACTAAAAGCGAATTAGCTTTATTATAAAAAATCCGTCTCTTTATTTAATAAACTATCTATATAGTTTTAGTAAATAAGTATTTATAATAAATACACAGAGATAAACTTAGTATACCTACTGAGGATTTTGGAATGGATTTCACTCAAAATATCTTAGTATATCCACTAGTGTCGTATGTATATGATGTTCGAGTCCCATCTCAGAGTACCAACTTGGAACTGGTGATTTTTTTAAAGCATTTTTCAATAAGATTATATTCCAGTATACCATTGGTAGTGCAAAATTGATCAAATATAATAACATAATATCAATTGAACATTTTATTAGAGGACATTAAATAGTTCAAATAAGGTTTATATTACATCTTTGGAAATTGACATTGCAAAATATTACAATGCATCAACCTTTTTAAACTACAATAAGATCGCGTACAAATATATTTGTTAACTAGTGGCCGCCAGCGACTTCGTCCGCGCTTTCCATTATTTCTTCGCTCCTAATAGTTGCAGCGTGATGTTATATAGCCTAAAGCCTTCCTCGATAAATGGTCTATTCAACACAAAAAGAATTTTTCAATTCGAACCAGTAGTTCCTGAGATTAGCGCGTTCAAACAAAAAAACAAACACTTCAGTTTTATAATATTAGTATAGATATATCGGGTCCAGGATGATAAAATAGTAACAAAATGACATTATTAACTTGACATTAACAAACCCTAGGTTCCTGTTTTTTTATAAGACATATATTTGTCATGTGTTCGTCTTTGTAGCTACCTGAAGACTAATGTCATTAACCAATGTGTTTCTCAAAAATCAATTTCGACTAATATATTTCTATACCGATTTCTATGATTCTTTTTATGGAAAACTTAATACTGTTAACTTTTTTAATTAGGGATGACTGAGAGTGTTATAAACGTAAGAGTAGACAATAGACAAATACAATCAGAAAGCTTCGAACTGCTAAGATATCGGGAGTTACACGTGTTATTGTGAGTCAACCATAAAAGATAGACATATGCTGTCGTGGGATATTTTTTATATAATTTTAAGGAAAACATTTCCGTCATACATGCTTTCTGGGTGGCTTTAACCATTAAGGTTGCACAGGCGACGGAAGCTTTAAAAATGGAGTAACTTCTCCCGTTTTCCCAACATTTCTCTTCACTGCTCTGCTCCTATTGATTGTAGCGTGATGAAAAGTATACTATAAACCAGTTCAGGAGTATGAAAAATAATTGTACCAAGTTTCGTTAAAATCCGTCGAGTAGTTTTTGTTTCTATAACGGTTATACAGACAGACAAAAATTTTACTGATTGCATTTTTGGCATCAGTATCGATCCCTAATCACCCCCTGATAGTTATTTTGGAAATATATTTCATGTGCAGAATGGAATGCATTGCCATTTGAAGTTCGTAACGCCCCAAACAAGCTCAAATTTAAGTCTGCAGCTCGTAACCACTATTTCCTGTATATGTATTGTATGTATATATGCTAATGCTTATATTTACGATTTTATGTACCGTTTTTAATCTTTACCGCCTACTACTGTTCTTTACAATCTAACTGGTTGACTGGGAGAGAATGCCTCTATGGCATTAATTCCGCCATTTGTCCTTAGTTAGGCAATAAAGAATAAATAAAAATAAAAAAATTTATAAAAATAAAACAGAAATGGACTATGGAATGTACAAAATATAATACCTACCTGCAATAAATTACGTAGGTTTTATCAGTTAATTGATACTTATCTATTATCAAACACGTGTTCATATATATAATATAATTACGTTGATAAATAATTTTATTTTGCTGACATATTGATATTGATCTTGTAACGTCATTCTTTACGTAAATTTTCTAAGTAGATAGTATAAAATCTAAGGAGTTCTTTATGGCCATTCTTTTTGTCAATTAAAAGATATCCTTAATGTGGTGTTGTAGAAATTTAATAAAAATTCAAAACAGAAGAACATAGTACAATAACCTATACACACTTATGCGATATAGTTGTCTCTTTTTTACATACAGCTTCGGATGTTATTGTTTTGTACAATACAAAATCACTACTTATAATGGTACTCAAGACTCATATAAGACTATATTACGAAAAAAAAAACAGAAAACAATCCTTTTTTTTGCCAGTGAGCACATTATTTTTATTATTATTTTATAGTTACAAGCTTATATATTTAAAACAAGGACTTCATCACATATTATATTTGATTAATTTCGCATTTACAACGTTATACTGGAAAATATTACATAAATTTTTGTTTATAGGCTTGATAAAACCTCTCAAAGAATATTCAAATTTCAATTTCTCAAAGGGAATGATAGTTATCCGAACACCATAAAAAACATAATGAACACCTAAGTTTTTGTAATCTGCATTTGTGTGAAGAATTCGTTTTTATATTATCGTTTTTTTTTTCTGTGACTAAATAATTAAATAAATCAAACTTCACTTTCGCTATAATTTAAGTGACGTGATTAATATGCGAGTCTGACGGTAAGTTGCACAAATGTCCATTAAGGTTTTATGACGCCTTTAAGTTCTAATGAATGTCAAATATGTATGGAGTAATGTCGCTTTTAACTAATGAAACTTTTAATGGACGTTTCTGCAACTGGCTGTGAGAGATCAAAGAGAATTTGAAATTAAATTTAATTTATTTGGTAATAATTGTTCTTATTTTAAATGAGTTTTTCATTCACAAAGCTGTATTGAAATTATCTCTTCATCAATGAACTGGAACTGGTGAATTTAATAAGTATATTTCTTAAAAAAGGTAAAAACTTACCTGCTTTATCGAGGGCCGATTCAAATGGTATTTTCCCATCTTCATGGTTTATTCCATTATTGTATGGATCCGCCATAATTTAAATTAATACAAATATCAGTAATTTTGATTTAAAAATATACACGTTCAATCACCAAACATGTTCACTCATGCATGACGTGGGGTCCACAAATGACTTTTGCCAGAGTAATCATATCTATAATAAAAAATAATTATGATAATAGTTTGCAAATTGCTTGATAACGTAAACATAGCGAAGTTGATACATCGAGACTTAAGTCTTAAAAAGACTCGATTATCTATACTAATATTATAAAGAGGAACTATTTGATTGTTTGTTTGTTTACTTTGAATAGGCTTCAAAACTACTGAATCGACTTTTATTTTTTTTTACCAATGGAAAGCTACATTATTCGGGGGTGATATATGCTAAAAACTTAGGCAATTTCGCGAAAAGCAGCTAGTTTTTATAAAATACCTATTCTTCATACGGTAAAATATTCTACATTGTTTATTTTAATAATATGCACCGAAAATTTTGGTACCAAGAAATAACGTACAAATTAGCTGTAATGAAATATGAGAAGATAATAACATCAGTTTATAAATGTAATCATTAGAAGAATAACATAAAGCTATCCCTAATTCGCCATTTTTATGAATTCTTCTCGTAATTATATCTTTTGAAGGGAAAAAATGACAAATATGAGTGAATTTGTAACTGACTGCTATATGCAACACTTAGGTACAATAATCTTAAATGTATATCACTAATTAGGAACAGTTTTTAACACGTCGTTATTCAATACTTTTAATTATCTAATTGATAGTTATAACAATAAATTATGAAATATGTTGAAAATGGTAACTTATATGTAAACAATAATAATGTAGTATTTTTTATTTTAAAAGTAAATTGGCAATTTTTATCTTTTGCAAAATTAACTTGCTATTTATATTGTGTGGTTTACAAGAAACGAGACGCAAACGGCCATGACGGCGCATCGTGTGACGTCACATTTCGATAAACTAAACGCCAACATCTTTGTTGCGAATACTCATGTTTATTGAAATGTGACGTCAAGGCTCAATATGTCACGTGACTGATTTATATCGAAAGTTTTAAAATAATGAATATTAAATATAATCTAATAATTATTTAACATAATCAATGAAGGTTTTAAAATACTATTTCCAAAACAGTCACGTAGCCTTCGATCGATTGTTTTTTATGTCTCTAGAAAAATATCTAAAATTCCTTACTTAATTTGAGACTGCAAAAATGCAATCACTATAATAGCATGTGCCGTGTATTGAGATATGTTAATAAATCGATATCTAATTACTATCAGATGCATCGCATCCATTAAATTGCCAACCTTGAACCAGCGGCTTACATGTGTTTGAAGGCTATCATACTTATAATGAACTCTAACCGTATTTTACATCTTTATATAATATGAAACAATGTAGCTTTCCGCTGTCTGTATGCTGAGATATTTTAACCGATCAGCGGATTTTCAGAGTGATTCAAAAGGAAAGTTACTACTACAGGCGAGCGTAGCCACTGGCTGAAAACTGGTATTAAATAAAACTAGAGCTAAATTGAGTACTTGGTTGAAACCATCGACCACCTAAAGCAAATTGACAATGGTAGAAGAAGAGAAAACGTCCAATTGAGATGTGTTGAATTATTTTGGTCGGCTAATGATTTAAACCTGGTACTAAAGTTAGTTCTCGTTTTATAATAAAACGGTATGTAGAATCTTAACTAAAATCACTAATTCATTGATTATGAAATTCAATATCATTTTTTGGATTCGGGCACTGGCCATGCTTTTAACAGCCCAAATTCAAATAAAGTTTTTTAAATATAGTAACAGCGCTGCGATTCGGTAAAAATTCAAACCCGAATTCGAATTCACTCAGGTGTCCAGATTCACGGCATCCGCTCAACCTTGAATTGGTAACGTATCGTGGCATAAGTGAAGTGAGTTTCGGATTGACACAGGAGCTCTGGGGGCCAATTCTATTAAATAAATTTGGTTTAAATCGAAAACTTACATTAAACTACAGTTTTTGGTTTAAACTACAGTTTTTAATAATTTTCCTATTCTACAAAGTGACATACGACAATTCTAGCTAAATTAGAACTGAAATTGTATCGTATGTCACTTAGTAGAATAAAAAAACCATTAAAAACTGTATTTTCATTTGGTTTCGATCCGTTTTCGATTCGATTTAAACCAAATTTATTTAATAGAATTGGCCCCCAGAGCTCCTGCAGTGGGGACTTAAAAAAGCTGATGATGTTGATAATGATTAAAAATTAAATTAAATTAATGTTATCTAGCTTTCCGCCAGCGGTTTAGCCCGCGTGGTCCTGTATTATACATATAAACTTTCCTATTAAATGACTATAATGAGTTTTATTAATATTTGACTGGTGATTGAACAAACAAAGGATTTAAGGAATTCCACTAATATTGATTGTAATTTGAAACACAATCATATTTATTCATAATATTTTTTATACAAAACATATCATTATATTTACAATTCAGTCGGACACTATACTAACTAATTAATAATTATTCAATCACATATAGGTACGTTATTATTATGACTCTTGCACACATTTTCAAAATGGCACACAATAAACTTAAATTACTTTATATACATAACTAATTAATCTTCAATTATTTATAGTAGTAACATGTGTTCGTAATCAGACTTAATTAAACAACAGTCATACAAAAAATCTGTGACATTTCAGTTTCAGTTTATACAGGGTTAATTAAATAGCTCACGAATTAAACTAAATAATTTTGATCTATAACTTTTTACGTTTTTTATTCATACAAAAATATTTTTTTTAAGTTGAATTTAGCCGCTAGTATGTTGATAACTACATCCTTCGCCAAAATTTCGAAAATTAATTTCTTTTCAAAGTAATGTTGTTAGCTATGTTGCCCCGTGTGTTTTTGGTATTTTACAATAATTGGTGTTGTCAAACAGCAGCATAATCAGATTACTACAAAATGTCAAAGTTCCGCAGTAGATTTTTAACTTTACCCGCAACATATTAAGGTTTAAAATCAAGTGGAGAAATATTACAGTTTTGTACAACTTGGCATAGCATCAGCTTATCGAACAGATCCATTAAAATAATTATTTTTTCGTAAGCATACAAAAATAATAAAACCCACTGGTAAAGTAGAATACACTTGATTTAAAAAAACAAAACTTAGTTCCTAATAGTCTTAGTCCAGCTAAAACATTTGGTATACCAGTACCAAGTAAATAAGCAAATGATAAATAATAATACTTAATTAATTATGACATCACATTTCTAAATTGCTGTGATCGGAATGGCTAAACATTCTGAAGCACTTGTTTTATCACAACAAGTACATCATACTAACATACACGAGAAACAATATTTAAAAGTTCATTTCCACTTTCTACATTGACCCATCCAAAAATTGAATCAGAAACCTAAGAGGTAGTAACACGAAATCCAGCATATTCACCTCTCGGCTGCTTGTAAATACTTTGAGTGTTAATTTATTCAACCAATAAAACTGTTGGAGCTTAAAGTAGAGATTCCTGTATCATTTAATTGTCTTGTAAGAGATCTATTGCTTCAGGCCAATTTTCCATAACAGCTTTATTCCTTCATTGTTCATCGTCTAATTTCTTTTCCGCTGGCAAGAACCATGCAACTACCGCAGCAGCTATAAAGAAAACAATACATATTGTAATATATGTCAATAATATGACTATAATACACATGAATTAAATAGAATATATAACCTAGAAATAGTTATCAACCTATTTCTACAAAGTTGCTATCTGTAAAGCTAGCTAGAGTTCTATTGAATTTGTTGATAGTAGGAATTTTGACTGGTCCATATTAATGCTTAATATACATTATTCACATTATTTTCAACATATTATTTAATTTTTTAAGAGTCTTTTTCTGGTAATATTTTAATTTTACTGACTTTCAAACAATTCTTAATAAACAACCGCAGAACACAAAAATATATTTAAAAAAATACTTACATAGTAATAAGACAGACCACGCGTAGAATGTGGATTCGCAGTCGTAAGAGATAAGAGCTCCAATAGCATTCACACCGAGGAACGCACTGGATCTCCCCAACATTATAGACAAGCATGAAGCCATGCCCCTATAAACAAAATAAAACAAGATGTAAAAAAAATTGCTTTATCCAACTACTTTTTGTACAATTTCTATACGAACGGACGTTTTGTATTTTATTCCCATAAAAGTACACTAGAGTAAAAGCGTTGAGATTAAGGTAGAAAATGCTATTTCTAAAAATTCACTGAGCACTTAAAGTAAAAATAGTCCATGTAATCTACTTGGTTTTATAGTATGCATTTGCATAATATGAACATGAATTAGAGACGTTAATTATATCAGTATACAAATATATTTCTTACCTCAAAGAAGTAGGATATAATTCGACGAAATATACGCTCAGAATGCCCATGGTTAGTGCGCAAAGAAGGAAGAAGAAGAAGAATATGCCTCCAGCGATTGGAATGGCGATGGCGTTGAGAAGTATTGCAGCCATCGCTGATCCGGCCAGGATGCACATCATGCCGACTTTTTTACGCGCACCACAAGTGAGAGAGAGTACCAAATTAGAAAGGCTTGCCAAAGCACCGTATGACATCGCGGACAGTAGAGTGGTATCTTGAATAGTATCATTGCAGACTTCCACTGTGGCCTGAAAAGACATTATTACTAATTACAAATAATTTATTTAAATAGTAAGTTTGCCCAAAAAAACGGAATATTATAACATTACAAAGATAATCCAAGAGGCTAAAAATTTATTTGCCATTTCGATTTAGATTACTTCTTTATTTACATCTAGCTTTTTATCGTACCGTGCCATTCTCCGCGACCCTGAGAACTTCCTGCGTGGAATACCGAATGACGGTGCATAAGTTCATGCCCTGACCACCACCCGCTTCCAGAACCGAGAACAGGTTGTTCATGATGTATGGCAACCAGAGGATGAAGCCACTGCCACTGTAAATTAAATAGAACAATGCAAATCATTTAGTATCACCTAATTAGCAGAAAATGTTAGATTTAGATGCTAAGAATATATTTTATATAGTACTGTTATTGATAGCTTTTGATGAAGCAAATTAGGGAAAGCGACCTGGTATACACCAATAAAATAAAATATAAATATAACTGGATGATTAAGACTGAAGACCAGTAAGACGTGATTGGTTTTGCAAATTGAATTAGTACATTTTTTCTTAACATTTAAGCGAATGGACCTGCTAGGAAGACTGACAATTTCGTGTAAGGGGAAATAAAACTGGATGAATACAGTAACCAAGCGCTCAGAGTGCTATTAAGAGGATGAGACCTAGTAAATATAGATAAATATTGTTGACTTAGAATTTTCGCTAAATATTGAAGAAAAGGATTCATAGAATACATAAAAACCTACGTCATGTATATAACGATGACCAGGTAAAACAGCTTCATGGTGTTCTTCAGTAGTGGTGGCTTGAACAGTGGCACTGTCTGGTGCCACATTGACTTTAAGATCGAACCCTCATTAGCTTGCGCCTTATTCTCTTCGTCTTCGATGAGCTTCTTAATCTATAAAGAACAATACACGTAAATATTACCAGCCGAGAAGATACTTAGGTATATTTTTTAAATAATTATACGAATCACAATCTTAAAAGGTTTATTTGGGAAAACAGTAGTTAGTTAGTTTTTGGTTCTATTATATGTTGCTGGAATATTTTATGTTAAAGTGATTGTGATATTACTCACTGGGAAGTTATCAGCACGGTCACCGCTGTTTTGAGCATATATGGACTTCAAGACATTCAAGGCTTCTTCATATCGGCCCTGAGAGGCGAGAAACTTGGGACTCTCATGGAAAAATTGTAGTAAGCAAGCGGTGGCGGCACACGGTAGTGCCATCACTAAAGCCAACAGTCGCCATGATCTGTAGTAGATGCCCAAGAAATCGATCCAGTAGGAGAACTCCAAAGGCAAGATGGGGTACGCGAGCACTGAAAATATATTTTTCTAAGTAAGTTAGAAGACAATTAAAGACTTCTGAAATTGGAAAGCAGTTTAATCAAACATAAATAAAATGAGAAACAGACACGAATGAGATACCGTTGATGGCAGAATCTAATTCATACTCGTGATACTATTCCAAAATTTTTCCCTAGAACTCCTGTTGCAAAGCAAATCTGAACCTCTTTAAGACGTACCGAACGAAAATCATATTTTATTTATTTACTCCGTGCTTTTCGAGGCGCATTTTTTTTGCCGTAGGTTACCAGCTGCATCGACTACATTTTTAGCTCCCACCATCTCGTGGTTATTGTGATTGTATATATGATTCAGTCTTAATACACAGAAAAATCCCACATTGGGGAGATAAATAGGCTTAAATTATGTTAAAATTCGAACCTGCTACAACAGCTTGTGAGCACATCATCAGGCATGTGCAGAGGAGTAGAGAGCGACCTCTTGAGCGTGCAGGACAGCTCTCGCCGAGCAATGTGTATGAACCAGAGTTGCTTGCCGAAGTACTGTGAGAAAAATTTTATATTAATTAATAATAAAGTGTATAATTTAAATAACTTCAAAAAGAAGGAAACATTTCGAAACATTTTCTCTTTTAAGAGCGCATCATTTTATAATCTTAGTAACGCAACCGAACATCTATTTTGTATATTACATAAAGTAACAAAACTGTACGTTCGTTTAGTACAGTGTACTAGAAACCATAATATACTTTAATAGTAGCCTAATAATAATAATTTATTTGCGTTTGAATAGGGTACACTAAATAAATTGTATGATTATGATTGGCGGCGCTTGGAAAATAACGTAAGAAAAATCCTGAAAATGTATACAGATTTTGATGAAGGACAAAATCTTAATTAGTTTCAATTTCCACTGCTTCAAATTAATATGCTTATTTTATTTACATAAGATCAAGTTACTCTACAAAAGTAGCGGTGAAGATGAAAAAATTAATCAAAATGTTTCTTTGTTTCACCAAAAATTGTGACTGACTGTAAATGACTTACTGATATCAATGATAAATTATATTATCAAAAAATCAAAATCAAAATTATTTATTCAGTCTAGGCTGTTACAAGCACACGTGAAAGTCGAGAGCTATGCCATAAATATTATATCCAATATATAAATATTTATTTCATAAGATCGATATAAATTCTACGTTATAGATCCAGAGCTGGGGGATGGTATATTAGTATAATTTATCTGAAAATCTGATATAAGATTATTAATTAATCAATTAGAAAATTATTTAATCGTCTTACTAATCAAGAACAATGAAGGCCTTAACGGATTTTACATTATCGTTGATAAAAAAATTCAATCTAACAATGATTTATAGATAATTAATTGTTGTTAGAATTAAATGAATGAATAATTGCGTTGTAATAAACAAATAAACTCTGGCTTTGAAATAAATGAGTTAGAGCAAATTAGAAAGTTTGTTTTTAATGTAAGCCTAGAATGCTCGAGGCTTTGAAGTTAAAATTTATATTAAAAAAAATAGATAATAAGTATATCTTTTACGGCCGGTTTCTGGATATAAAAAAATGTTCATTCAATGTTTTTTTTTTAAACGAAAACCTTAAGTACGGTTTAAGACGTTCTCAATTTAGAAACCGGGTGTTAGAATCTTGGATATTGGCACTCTTACTTTTTGTTAAATATTTAATTTACCTAAACATTTTAATTAAATTTATAAAATAAAAAGCTCTATTTATGTAGTTCGTATCGGGTTCCTCCATAGCATTTTGTAGAGATTATTTATACATTAAATTTCTTTCTTAATTATATTTTTATACAATTCAACTTACTATCTTTCCTATCTACTGAGAAACTTATTAAAATAATAAATCTATGGATTTTAGATACAAATAGTTAAATGTCGGTATCTGTTATCTTTTTTATTAAACCCCAATTCGTAATTTAAAAAAATAAATTATGCATTCGTGACAGTTTATTTAACACGGATATGTACACTGTTTCCTTAGTAATAATTAAATATTGGCTTGTCTGTCAGTTTACTTAAGTCATTAAGAAAGCACTACACGTGACAGATAAATATAAGCTGTTATTCCATGACGTCACTTGAACGAAGTCACTAAAGTGACGAGTGCGACGTCAAACAGAATTATCCAAGTTAAATATTAATTAACTATCAGTTCACTTGGTATTTGCATATAGATAGAGACATGTTATATTTAATTTGTGACAAATTAACAAAGCCGATAAATAAACAAAAAAGTCTCAGACTAATTTAGGATATCCGTTACAAAATTGTACAAAAAAGTAATAATTAGCTTATTTGATATGTTAGATGAAGTTTGTAGCCTTCTAAAGTCCCGGGTTCGGCTCCCGAACGGTTCAATGTAGAAAACTAACTTTTGTATATTGTCTCGGGCTCGGAACATCCGAGATCATAGAATTTTTATAAGCCGCTTTTGGTTATAACCCGGTCTTCATAAGTGATTATAACCATAAGAACGGATCGAATACATGTATTCCAACAGTGGGGTTAGCCTGACTATAATGAATTTATAAACCTAGTATACTATTTTTCAGATACTTACAATATAGAGCTGATCAATTTAAGACAGGCCATCGTCTTCCAATCCGGTGAGAAACTGCTGAGTGTTGCGAATATGAAGCCGATGGACATGGACAGCACTAGGGTCAGCTTCCGACCCTTCGTATCAGACACGTAGCCCCAGAGGTGAGCTCCAGCTACCACTCCTGCAGCGACAAATAAAACCCACTGTCATATATTTATTCAAAGAAATCTATCAATTATAAAAGTGTATAAAAATCTAACCTGTAAATGGGAGGACAAATCAAAATGAATATAATAACTTATTATATTTATTTGGTAATAATATTATTTATATTATATTATTGTGAGGGCTTCTGTTACGGCTGGTGAGTTACTTGCTCGTTCTTCTCATCAGATAAAGACGCCCTGAACGAATGGTAAAAATGTCGGACGATTCAAAAGTACTTTTAATGTGTTTATTTGAATAAAGATTATTTTAACTGTAGCTTTGAGGAAATTGCAAGGGTTGTCAATGAGATAGATAAAGACAAACGATGGCGTATTGTACGGAATAATAATAATGAGTCATTTATTTCAAACACTAACACTTATATAAAGGATCCAAATGCGTAACTATGTCATGGCAAGACGCCAAAATGCCACAGGCCCCCAGCTGGAAGGGGCCCTCAGAAGGGACTCCTTACTCCCTGACATTTATTATTTACACTTATATATAGGATCCAGTGGCGTAACTATAGAATGGCAAGACGGCAAAATGCCACAGGCCCCCAACTGAAAGGGACCCCCGGTCAGAAGGGACTCCTTACTCCTGACATTTATTATTACGCAATTAGTAAAAAAAAAATGAATATCCGGTGAATTTGCCAGGGGCCTCAAACGTTATAGTTACGCCACTGAAAGGTTCAAACAATATTTTTAATTAATTACTCGAAAATCATTGTATTGTGTAAGTAGCTCATATCAGGCATTGATTACAAAGTTACCCAGACATTTGTCAGTTATTATAAAACTAATAAAGTTGCCATTACATGGGACACCCTTGTAGATTGAAGAACAACGATAAGATAATGTGGCTGTATCTCGTGCCAATGTCAAGGTTAACATGCGGCGCGACTGCCTTTTAGTGGATATAGGAACTATCATAAACGAATATAATTATATATTTGACTTTATTATATCAATATTATTATTAAAAGGAATCCTTTTTCATGTCGAAGTTCTTATATATGTATGATGCTTAGTAGACAGCGATGATGATGGTATAATAGTTGGTAACATTTACTATAACATTTCGCATTTAGAGCGAATGAGTCCAGCGCTATGTCTTGCTGGAAACATCTGAAGCGCTATTCTGTTATAATAAAAGCTATTTCAATATGTAATAAAGGCTTTAATTTAACATCTCTGTGCTATCACAGCGTTCGATGTCGAGTTTGAGGCTGTTTTTGTGTGTATGGGTGCGTGTGAGTACTACTCTAGTTTTACCCACGCATTGGCTTGAGCTCTTTCAAATAATCTCGAAAAATTTATTCGGATTATACTTGAAGTGTCCCTGCAGTTTGTGGTTTGTTTTCCTCTTGGGTTTAGTTTTCTCGAAGAATCTCGGAAAATTTTCATTTTTTGAGCTACTGCTCGAGACCGGTTTTGGCGCTTGTTTAGAGGTTTGTACGTATGTCAAACAGACAGAAGACTGGCAGATAAGAATAGAATAAAGGTCAGCGATTATAGGTTTTCCATTTTATATGTTTAGAAACTGCACTTCAAAAAATCTCGTAAAAATTATAAGTGAGCTCACGTAATACCAGAATTTACTTCTGACCCGAACCTATTATTGGTTCTTATACTAATACAAAATCTAGTAAAAACGATGAAATCATGATACATCAAGTTTCAAACGGTCTTCAGCATTTATTGCATTTTGAAATATCTTAGGAAGCAGCTGTAAATTTTTTTTAATTCTTGGACATGCGGCGTGCGTCGAGGGTAAATAACGAAATGTAAAGAAGCTTATTTCCCCAATATAATAAACAAACAAAGAAAGTAAGTAGTCGAAATGTAATTAAAAAAATAAATGCTAGAACCATCAAGTATGAAGCATAAAAAGGTTAATTAGCACAGTTTTCTTTTTTCCCCAGGAGCGTACCTATTCTCTATCAAAGTTGCAGTTCCCTTTGATATAAAACCTATAAAATAATCTCTGATCATGACTGTTATATTGAAGATCTTCTTAGCCGAGTGGTTCGCAAGCCGGTTTGAAGATGTCGCCATCTCTGATTTCCCGGATTCTATTCCCAGCCGGGTCAATGTAGGAAATTAACTTTTTTTACGTTTAGTCTGTGTGTTGTGATACCGTCGTTGTGTCAGATTTTCCATATTACGAGCTTGAGTTTACTCATCTTGGAATCTGAGCAATGTATGTAAAGTTTTCTAATATTTTATTAATATTAATGATCTTACCGACAAGAGGCATGGCAGTGAGTAGCGCCCTCTGTTGCATGTTAAGTGCCAAGTCGCAAACTGCTGCTGATACCACAAAGCTGCTGCCGAATAGATCCATTCCCATAGCCTGCAGGGTCCAACTGCATATCAGCAGCAATGCGAAGTTGTATTTGCCGAAACCTACGAAATAAAATATGCATTTAAAAAATATCAGCTACCGTAATCGTGTATGCCTGCTCGCGCTGCCCATTTTAGAATAGAATAGAAAATTGTTTTTTTAGCACCAAATTACAAGTATATAACATTGAAAAATAGAAAATTCAAAATTAGGTACTAAGAAGGTCTCCACTCAGCAATATGCCGCAGTGTTTAAGCGCTGATTTTCAGCGGATACCTTAATTAAATAAATAAACAAACTAAAAAATTTAGAATAAAATAAGAAAAGGATTTTTTAGTTCTTTATCATCATCTTCATCATTATCCGCCTATTAGAGTAGCTCGGTGGCGTAGTGGATAAGCGCCGCGGCCCGCGATCGTAGTCGTTAAGTAACTTTCGCAAGGGTCGGTCACGGGATGGGTGACCAAAAAAAAAATTATCTCGAGCTACTCCGTGCTTCGGAAGGCACGTTAAGCCATTGGTCCCGGCTGCATTTGCAGTCGTTAATACCCTCCAATCCGCATTGGGCCAGCGTGGAGGGTCATGACCCACCCTCTTTAACCATCCATAAGGAAGGCCTGAGTCCCGGCAGTGGGGACGTGAAAGGGCTGGTGATGATGATGATGATGAATGTCTCCACTGCCGATGCATAGGCCTATCCTATATTTGGACCAATGAGTCATAACCCACCACACAGGCCCAGCGCGTATTCGGGGGTGTTAACGACTGCAGATGCAGCTAGAACTTAACGCGCCTTCCGAAGCACGAAGGAGCTCGAGATAATAAATTTTTGGTGACCCATCCTATGACCGGCCTTTGCAAAAGTTGTTTTATTCCGCATCCCTGACCGAACGCACTTATCAATGCGCCACCAAGCGCCTCGATGGCACGTTCAAGTACTTTAATATAAATATTCAAATCAATTAGTTTGTAAAAATATATTTGATGTTATTAGATAAAATTTATTAAAAACAATTATTTTTAATATAATTATATTTAATAGATATTTTTTGTCAATATTTATAAACATTCAATTAATAGACTCATAACGAAACATAAAATACCTTATTTCTTAATTAATATTTTAGAAATTTCACACCATCGTACTACAAAAGGTATATATTTTTTTTTTAATTTTCGATCAATAGTATATTAATTACAAAAATCGTGTGGCATAATGAATTCCAATATGTTTTCAACAAAATCTGTTTCAAAAAGGTATGTAATTAAGGCGATGTTTAAAAACACAAATTCCATGGTTACCATTCTTTTTTTGAGTTTTTTATAGGTACGGGTGATCTTCACGTAATTTAAAACGTTTATCTAACCTGTAAGAGTTAGGGCTTCTTCGACGGTTGCTGAATTCCATGACCTCTTCTTTTCAACACCCTCAATTTCTTTACTTAACTTTTGATCCATATTTTATATTTAAGCGTAATGATTATTTAAAAAATAATAAAAATAAAATTACGAAGGTTTTATGTAAAAAAGAAATCAACTGAAATCTTTTTTTTAATGACAACAGGGAGTTTTGTCTAACTGCCAGTTATCTGAGTTCGTTTTCAACAGTGTCTCAGGCAGGTATCTCCTTTTTTAACTAATAATTATGGAAGTGGTGATAGTATTCTTTATATAGGTAGCTATCTGATAGAGTAAAGCCGCGTCATGGGTGGTAAGCGGAATCAACGATCAACAACGCGACTGTTTGCTGGAGGTTATTTGCTGAATTGTCTTAGGCGAGGAGCTAGTGAATCTCTGAACAAGATTGGGTAACCTCATTTAATTTTAGCGAATTTTACTTTATAAATTTTTACAAATAAAATTGAATCGCTAAATGTATTATTAAGCCCAAAACTCGAAAATAGCTTAACCAATTTAGCTGATTTCTTTTTTGTTTTGTTTTTATGAAGTCTGTTGAAGAATCTTGTGGAAAAAACACGTAAAAAAATGCGAGGAAAATAGAAGAAACCAATAATGTCTCTTTTCTCATACAAACCAATTTGTTAACTTTTGACAGAACGAAATCTGTCACGGCAGCTATGGGGATGATTTTTGATATTTTATTTGCCGGTGTCGATATTAAATACATATTTCTTGTTTTTTGCGTAAAAATATCGCATGACGATACGCATTTTCTATATAATAGTCGTGACGTAATAAGCTCCCACTCTTCATCATTATAATTGAGCCTATTATCTAAGCCATTTCTTGTTAAAATGAAGCACAAAAATACTGCCATCTAGTTTATAATAATATCTTTAAAATTCCTTGATCTTTTTTTACATCACTGTTAACCCCAGTGACCTGACGTCGAAAAATTAGAAAATTATAGTCTTTATTAGTAATTTTCATATTTGTTTTTTATTAGTACATATTCATGATTAATTCTTTTTGTGTTACGACGGTACTTGGTCAATTATTTTCTTTATTTTAATTAATTAAAAAGTCAATGAGATGGCTAGCTCTTGACCTATCAAAACTAAGGTGAATGTTTCGTGACGTAGAAATGTTTCTAATTAAATGTTCTCTTTAGATAATAAAGCGATATGTGTACACAGGCATCATAAAACTTGTGACAGTAATATAAATAGAAATGTAGCGAAAATGCGGATTCTAGACTTTTTGCGAATGTTCAAATATAAACCAAAGCGTTTATTTGCTGAAGATGATAATGTTTATGTATATGTTACTGATAATCTGTTTAATACAGGCATTCTATACAGTACCCGCGCGATGTATAAAATATCTGCGGCTCTAATATTATCAGCAGACCAGTCTGAATTAGTCTAGGATTACACAGACCGTGAGACGCCACGTGCATCGCCTCCATGAAGAAGGATATCACTGGGTTTTAGTGGGTTTGACCCTGCTATTTGATATGGATCCGCAGGGGAGAGACCTGCATCTCTACCCTAAGGATCCATCCCAGAATGGAGCTAATCAAATAGCAGGGTCAAATAGTATCCCGCCGATCCCGCACTAGGGTGGAGCGGGTATGCGATACGCATTTCCCAGCGTAAAAAATATTAGATACACAAAACATGCTGATTAGTCTGCCGATAATATTTGTATTCAATTCGACATATCAATCAGGGCTTCACTTATGCAATAGAGCCGCTGGATCGTCCAACTGCCGGATCTATTTTGTATTTATATTTAAGTACCTATGAAAAGGTAAAGAATTTAAATACTGGCTTTATATTCTAAAAATCAGATGGTAAATATCTGTCACTGTTGATATTATATAACTTCACAATTGTTACTAGTTCTGCTAGTTAGTTATAGCTGTTTTCCCGCAATTTCGCACGTGTATATTATAGCCTATGCCAACCCCATGTGATGTATCTCTCCGCAGGTGAAAGAATTTTTAAAACCGGTCGGAGCCTATTCAATGCAAATAAACAACCAAATATTGATCTTTATAAAATTATATAGATTTTTAAGAAAAATAATCAATTATTATAAGCTCGGTAATTTTTAAGAGAGTATTCTCCCCAGAAAGGAAATTAGGAACCCCAAAATTATTTACCAATTTTCATCTTTTCTTAACACGTGAGCATTCAGTATTTTATAAATTTCTTAACAAAATATTAAGTACATAATATTTAAATAGATTTTCTATAGATTATCAGATTCCACTAATCGCTGCAACATGCTATACCTGCTTACCTTCTACGGGATCAGCGATAATGTTTTAAAACAAACAATATTCTTATTTGTTCCTATTAGCATGCCAACTTTTACAAAATACAATTTATACTTATGTAAAGTTTATAACTCTGTTTTCTTCGGAAATACTGATTTGATCTTGAAAACTCTTTCACCTACGGGAAGGTCATACGCGGGTAATATCTTTT